AGCTGCAGCTCACACGAAGCTGAACGTTCTTATCACGCTCTCTTAATTTTGGTACCAGAGCGATCCACTCATTGATGTATGTCTGATGGATGCTCGGCGCAGCCTCATGCAGCCTCAAGTGCTGCAGGTGTTGCTCTAATTTTGGAAGACAAACAAGGCACTTGCAGATCAAGACCGAAGAGGTGTGGGCAAGATCTATAGCAGACTGGTGCTTAGGGAATAAGGGAAGTTTCGCCCCCAATAGAGATTCTATTGGATCCAGCCACCCTCATTCCCTGCGAGACGCACCAGTCAGATAGTATTTCCCTAAAGCTGGGCCCTAAGAATCATTGTCCATTTCCACTTTCTCCCCACCGTGTGGATGAACTGTTTCGCACCAAGGCCGCTGGTGTGGTCCTGTGGTTTGCGCAAACCAAGCGCCTGAGCCGAGAACAGCGGCGCGACACACGTTCCGTGGCTTTCTCGTACCCCGAAACCCGCGACACACGTGACAGAATGCGACACAGAGACAGACCAACAGACAGACCCACAGACAGACCCACAGACACAGGGCGTTTTTGTTTTTTTTTGTGTCGGTGTTTTTCGTGCTCGGGAATTGAGGAAGCTGCCCTTCAACAGTCTGCAAAATGTGCTGACCAGAGATGGGTGACCCAGGGGTGGGAAGTGGATGGAGTGGTTGGGGAGAGGCCAGTGGCCACATGTTAGACCTTCAATGGCATGGAAGAGCTAGACCTTCCTGTGATGCCCTTTGGGCAGATCAATACGCAGTACTTTAAGCATACTGAGTCATACTGCATCCATGGAAGCATCACCCTCGCCTCGCTCAAGGCATCGCCCCTTCGTGACCTTCCCACATGCGGGTGCCAAACTCTTTTTCTGTTTCGACCCCCTCGCGCCTAGATGCACCATCTCCCCCCTCCCCCTCGCGACGGTCGCGAAGGTCGACCCGCCGCGGTCGACTTCGACTCCGGCTCGACCGCCCACCGGCGCGGGCGGGCGAGTCTCAGGATGTGGAGCCCAATGTGAAGATCAACCGAGAGGTCTTCGAGTCCTTGGAGTCCATGCTCTGTCACCGTGCCCAGAGCGACGTGACACGCGACGTCACGCGACGTCACGCGTGCCGTGCGGGAGAGAGCTGCTCTCTCCACGTGGGCGGAGAGAGAACCGTGGAGGCGTGGTCGACGTGCGCCGAGCTGATGAGCTCCAGCTGAAGTGGTGGTGGCGGACCGAACCAAAGGATGTATGGTGATGGTTAGAGGAAAGGAATTAGGGTCTGAATGAGAATGGAAAGAGCGAGCACGCTGACTAGGACTTGCCCTCATGTTGCAAGGTGCCCACGTGATCCGCGATTCTCCCCGGGTTTTTTGGAGCCACTTCAAGCAGGTGGTGTTGGTATATTGCAGCAAAAGTCCTATGACGCTCCATGGAAGTGGCATCCTTTCTTCATATATTTACTCCCCCAGGGAAGGGCCCAGCGGTGCTTGGAGCTCGCCATGTCAGAACTACAGTCAGAAAAACCTGCCAGCTCAGAACTGCCTTTCTTTTTGTTGGTTCCGAAGTGGAGTCCTTGGTTTCCCCCTGAAAAAGGATCCGCCGCGGCCTGGTTCGGCGCCGAACCACAGCTCTTCCGGCCGCCTCGGCGGCGTCCCCTCGCCCGAAGGCCGTGAGGTGGCGCGGCGCGTCTCGGCCGAGGAGGCGCCGGGGAAGGAGGGAAGGTGGGCAGCGCTGCGGGGGGGGAGTTCAGCGGGGTGAAGAAGCAGAGGGAAGGAGGGAAGGAGCCAAGAAGGAGCAAGGCTAGGCCCCACCATGTGGAGTGAGATTCGAGCAGTATGAGTAAGAGCAGCATGTTGATAGCTCAAGCCATGACATGAGATGATTTGCAAAGATTGAGTTGCAGCGCTTCCCAGCTTCGCCGTGCCGAGCACGGGCTTCGCTGGACGGCCCCTGCGACCTGCGACCTGCCGGCGCTTGCTTAAGGCGCTGAAACACGACTGGCTGCGTGAGAGCCAATTTGGACCCAGCCATCAGATCAGCCGACGTGGAGCAGCGTGGAGGCTTAGCCAAGTGATGTGTTGGACAGTTCTGAATTTTCGGCACTGTCCTATTGCCTGTAACAGTCGGTCAACAAGAACATACATCACTATTTATATAGAGATGGAAAGTCCTGCAACCTAACAATCAGTGGTAGCTATACGCTCCCAGATCAGATGCAAAGAGAGATCCAATAAATCCACTGGTGACTGGTCATGGGATAGACCGGTTGGGTCCTCCCATGTCCCCCAACGACACGGGGTTTGTTTTCTTGGGTGTGACCCTTAGTAGCCCCCTAAGCATGGAAGGCGTGGAAGGGCAACCGGTTGAATTCTTAAATGAAGATCACATGACATCCACCCCAATGTTTGTGTAAACAAACGTACTGTATAATACTATATATATAATTCTATATATATATATAATATAGATATTCAAAAGTCCTATATGTGGTACATGTTACTTCTATTTTGAATCAGATTGATCTGAGAAGATAGCTCGATCCTTCTCTGGAGTGCCAGTCGTCAGTGGAACTTGCGTCAACTTCCAACGACGCCCACCGTCCACCGTGCTGGGTTGGACGTCAGAATGAGGTGAACAATGATCTGAGCAGCAGTGCGGCACTGAGGACCAGGAGTTTTCGGATTTTTTTCGATGCGCCAGGTTCGGTTCGATGCGCCCCACGGGGAGTGGGGTAGTAGTCTTGGTCCGTGGAGTGGCACGGGGTGATTGATGATGAAGAAGGTGTTTATTGATCAAGCGATGGCTGACAGGCGAGGCAACCTTTGGCAAGTTGATTCAGAAGCCTTTATGCACAATTGATATCAATTGATCACCTTCAAGTTGCCGCCGTTTGTGAGGTCAGAATGTGAAACGACTGGATGCCGAGGAGCAGGAAGAGAGTGAGGACTGGGCGAGTTGGCCATGAGACTTGTCGACTCAAAATGAACCTTTGTATTGGTCAACTAGATTTGGTCCATTGGGGTGAAGTTACAGTATCACAGGACACATTTGTCCGAAACACCAGTAAACACCGGTAAGCTGGCCCGAACATCAAGTCTGACCTCACGGTCCTGAAAAGGGTCATCTCATAGACGGGCCCCCTGTGAAGAACTCGTCACACCTCATTGGGCCCAAAAGCACCCGAAACAACTCGAGGATGACTCCGATCAATCCAGCACTGCCTCCAGCATCCTCTTTCCCACACGTTCCTTGGCCGCTCCGCCGGCGGTCGGGTCGACGGGTCGACGGGTCCGGGGGACAAGGCGTTTTCGGCCTTTTGCGGGGTTCGGTCTGCTAGCGAAAGCGCTTGGGGGGTGTGACTGAACAAATAGAACGTAAGGGGATATATATATATATATCCCTTTAAACGTGCAATATCATGTAACTATTGGACTTTGCGAACGATCTAATGAGTTAAAGTGAACATGTATGAAGGTGTTAGTGGCCAATGACCAGGACTGACCAACAAGTGGTGTTATATATATATATAATACCATAGATAATGATGAATCAAGGGACCACCTCCTATTGCGTGAATTGGTTTGCGGATGTTTGAGGGCTTTCGAGGACAAAGTAACCAAGATCCAAAATGAAGGTTAATGTACCAGGACCTTCAAAGTGACCTTTTGAGGTCCCAGTTTGAGGTCACTTAGTCCATAAAGAGGTCACTTACAGACTCCAAAGAGGTCACTTTGAAGGTCCTGGTAGGCCTGGCATTTTTGAAGCTTCAACATTTACTGGTACTTTGTAAATGAGAGAGGGTTGCTACCCCTGCACAATATCATGCGAGAGGAACGGGAGGAATGAGAAGAGGCCTACTCTTCTGTACAATGAGAGTCAAACCGAAGAGTAAATGAGAGCTAGAAAAGGTATTGTTGGGGCTCGACGATGAGGCTCAACGATCAAGCCCCACATGAGCAACCACTTTTATTTGGTCTTGACTGAAGTAGTCTATGGCATGCTCCATTTGTTTGCGCAACATCAGTATCCGCTGGTGAACATGGTGAACGAGATAAGGCCCCCACATAAACGAGATAATGATATGTTTTTGATGATAGCGATGACCTGTGATCTGCTACTAAAGTAGTCTGAACCAGCTACTGTGACAGGCCCTCCTACAAAAGTAGTCTAAACGAGACAGGGCCCCCACTTTATAGTATCTTTGAGTTTCGTAACACATGAATGCCGCCGCACACAGTGCCATTCTCGTTGATGGAGCTCAGTGCATAACTCGAGTTCTGCCAAGGTGATGTGCGCCCTATTAAGGAGCGGAACGCTGCCAAGAAGCGCGTCGGCCCAGACAGAAGCGCGTCGTGTGGAAGTTCATGTGCGAACGTGGACATCCGAAGAAATGGAGGCTCTTTTCACGGCATTTTCTTTGGTCAATCACCGATTCTCTCCCTTGACCTGCGAAGTCTTCATCATCACGAAGTTTCAAGAAGTTTTCATGTGAACTTATTGCTTGGTTGAAAATGTTTAAACCAATTCCGTGCTGTTGGGGCCGGATGAAAAAGCCTTCAGGCAGCCTGAGGCCTCATGTTCTAGAACACCATGTTTGTCAGTTGCCATCGACCATCCACCAAACCGTTTTCTTTTTTAATTGTATCTTTCTCCGGGTTCATTCATGGTTCCACTCGGGTCAATTCTCAGCCTGATCCACGAACTTTCTCCACATTTTCAGTTGGAAGACATGCTGGACCGTTGCCACCAAACACCTCACGCCCCAATTGAGAAGTAACGATTTAGGGAAAAAACAGCAAACACTAACAAACACCTTCAGCTGGAATCCGAAAAAAACAACAGGCTCCTTTCCCTTTGGGCCTCAGCACCCCCCCCCACCCGGGAAACATCCCTCATCGGCGCCTCGCACCGTGGTCGGTGGCACCGAGGAAGCTGCTCCGTCGTCAGAGCGCCACCGACTTCCGAACGCTGGCGCGGCGGTTGACTGGTCTGTCGCGTCCGGCGCGGCGTTCGGGGGGGACATGCCAAAGCAGTCCATGGATGGATTTCTGGCAAAACAAAGAAAGACTGGATAAGTTATAGATATTTCTATGGTGTTCGGTCCCCAAGTGAGTGGATAATGGGCACCCCTAACCTCCATTAAGCACCCCTTTGTGACTCCTGGTAGAAGTTTCGAGATTTTTTCATGATTTTCCAAGTCAATGTAGGGACTTGGGTGTGAGTCCGAAACCGCCCAAAAAGTCAACCCCTGCCAGCTGGGTCCCCGAATTGCACACGCAGTCGAAGCAGCCCATGGACAAAGAGTGCGGAAGCTTGGAGAGTTGGGAGTTGAACTCATCCGAATCCCACTGGAAGGGACCCATTCGCTTCGATGTGGGGCGGTGGTGTCCATACGGCTGGGTCCAAGAAAGGCGGTCCGCCCAGAAAGCGGGTGCAAGAAAGCGGGTGTCCAAGCGCCAGGTTTGGGGAGAAAGAGCCAAAACCCTTCTGATCAACAGTTCTGCCTGGCACAGCTCTCCGTCACAGCGAAGAAAAACTGTCCGGACAGTGAACATGGGGCGCCCGTGGTGGTTCACAGCGCCATGACTGTCCGGCCAGAGCTCCTGAGTATCTCTGAACGACCACTCTGAGTCGGTGGTTGGACCCTGATCATAGGACATGGGATGATCCAAATAGCAGAAAAGGTGGAGCGGTCCAAACATCTTCATTTTTGGATCCAAATCCATATACCTCAGAGAGCCTCAGCCGGTCCAAACACCACGGTGCCCCACCGGCAAAATCCACGCCACGTCCACGTCACTGACTCGGTCACCACTGACTCGCGGCTGCTGGAGGCCATCCAACTGGGGACGTGCCAAGCAAGCAGCCGGGACGCCTTGAAGGAACGAGAGATTCCGCCCGGGAAGGACGTGTTGTGCGTTGGGGGCCACGTGTTTGGGAGGTCCGGAGGTGACTGGCCGGTTCTGGAGATCTTGCAAAGATGAGACGCTTGCCGCTTGACGCTTCGAAGCGCCAAGCGCCTGGATGGGAAGGACTGGGCAGACTTGCAGGATACATTCATGGTCTATTTCTTCACCCCCACCCACTGGGCCGGCCCCAGTGGGGCATGCCTTTTGGACCATGTTTGACCTCCTCCATCCACCGGTGACCTGATCCAAGGCACGGCGCCTGCCCCAGAAGAAGCAGAGGGCCGACGAGCGCTTCGCCCTGGGCGAGAAGGCGGAAGCTGCCGGGGGAAGCGGCTGAAAAGGGGAGTGGGATGTGCTGGGGAGGGAAGTGGGATGACCAGGGTATCAGGTTTGTTCTTGAAGATCTTTGAAGTCAGGTGTGGAGGATGTTTGGTGATATTTCTTGGATTGTTCTTGTTGGGTGTTTTGCCACTTTCTAACTCAGGTTTTATTCCGTTTCGCCAGAGCTTCAGTTGAATGGCCAGTCTTCCCGAATTCCCGAATCCTGCACCAAGCCGAGCTTGTAGCTGGCTGCTACTGGAAGAATAATATGCCTATACATGCACCGGAAATCAACCACCCCCATGTACTGTAGGCATATATTTCCAATCCCATGGGAGGTCTGAGGGTGCCTGGCGAATCTGGGGGCGAATTGTGTTGGGGCAGAATGGCCGATGCGGATACTTTTTCGATTCGAACGGAACATGAACAGGAGTCACGCACCGACGCACTCGCAGGTCACGGTGAGCTTCGACATCGCCATACAAAGGCCCGATTCGGGGAGACACAGCTGTGATGGAACACAGCTGTGATGATCTGAAGGAAGAACTTGGCCAAAAGCAAGTTCAATGAAAGGGTCCTACATCCAATTCCACGAATTCCGGGGAGAACCTTGGAGAACACCCAATTCCCCAAAGCTGTGAGCATTGTAAAGTTCTCAACAGACCCAGCAGACTCATCAGCCTGGTTATGAGGTTCCAACTGAACTCCTCAACATCTGGGGATGGGTCTTCCACCTATTTCATCCTATTTCCATTTCAGAGCCACTTCCTTGGGTCAAAACCCCAAACCCTCGTTCACAGAGAATGAACCGAATACTTTCTTGGACCTTCCAACATAGATCAAAATAGGAGGTCCGCCTACCAGCTATATCCAATCCCTAAAAAATCCAAGTACCTTGTCAGAAGGTGTTGTGTTCGACACTGTTAGGTTTGGAGGCTCCAGTCGTACCTTCTGAGAAGGTACCATCCAGTCACTGGATCCCTCGGGAAACGCTCCAGTCACTGTCCGGGTCCGACTTCCACCCGCCCCCACTGTCCGATGGGGCTCCCGGTTCGACACCGTCCTCAGGTGTCGTGAACTCATGGGCGGCTCCCTGGAGCCCTTCGTGCCGGGCGTCTCGGGCCGGTCCGAAGCGTCCGAACACGTCACCACCGGGTGGCCGAGGGGGTTAGTGAGGTGCACCGGACGTGTGGGGGGAGTACAAAAGAAAAACCCGTCCAAAGAAACCGTCAAGGGAAGGTTCTAAGATGTGTGTTGTTGGTGGCAATTTCAGCTTGGAGGATTGTGTTGCATTATGTTCCGCCAGGTTTGGCAGAACATGTGCAATCGTTGTGCGATCCAGGAATGCCGCAACGTTGTTTTGGTTGAGGAACAGCTTTTGCGTGCTTTTTCAGAGACCAACCAGCAGGGCTTCGTCGGGGTGGTAAAACCATGGGTTTTCGTCGGGACTGCAACCCCCCCTCTCGCTTTGAGAGCAAGACTTGGTGTTGGAGGCCATCGCTACTAGGGTGGAGGCCATTACGACTAGTAGCTAATTGCTACTGTGGGGTGAAGTCTTCTTCCACTGAGTGAGTGGCAGGTCATACGAGTGGTGGAGCGAGGAGCGATGTCAGAGGCGGCATCCGCGGATCTTTCGGGGGATGTCAGAGGGTGAGGTGAGGTGCCGCAGTAGGTGCAGCTTTGTTAGCCAAGCATGGCTTTGGAGAACCGTTTTTGGATGTTTTTGATGGCTTTTGTGTCGTTCTCTACTAATCTTTTCTATTTTTTTGTTTTACATATAGAACGCCTTTGTAGTTCTTGAAGTCCATCTCATTAACTTCCGCAGAACTTCTCCACCCTCGCGGCGTATAGTCGCGTTTTACGTGTCCACGCGTAAAAACCGCGTCCATCCGCGATCGGACGTGACATGGGATCGGACGTGGGAGGGCTTCGCTGACTCGTGGCTGTTGGGCAGGATGGGTTTGGAGATTGGTGATCCACCGTGCCTCTCTGGCTGGTGGCAGCCCGCCTCTAGCACTGGTGCTCAGAAACGCGCGCGCGCGGTCATGGACGGGAGAGAGGACGGGAGTGTGGTGAACCCCAGGCTCACCGGGCTTAGACTTGAAGCCATGGCAGCCATGGAGAACCACACAACCGAGTGGTACACCCCAGTCATTCACCAAAAGGAGAGATGAACAGGCGACAAACCAACGACCCACGCAGACACGATCTCGCCTGCAGGACCGAGTGGGATTTCGGGACATGGGTTCACCCCCCCCCAAAAAGCCCAATCGAAAACTCTTGGAACCGCCAAACATCACGCACTAACTCCCAACACAGACCGCAAGGACCCAAACTCGAACTTGCACCGCTTCAGCGGTGCAGCCCGCGGACCCCAAACCCGGTGCCCCACCACTCAGGTCGCGGGGGCATGATCTACGTCTGCCCCGCGTCCATGGCCGACCTGGGCAAGGCGGACGAAGAACGGGTTGGCCGCGGTTGAAGATGGTCCAAGTGATGGAAGATCTCAGGTTCCGGTTTCGTGGCATGACGCTTGGTGGGAGGGTGTGGGACGTGTGGGAAGTCTGCAAGTCATGTTCTCATTCCAATCAACCTCTACCTTCCAACTTGAGGCTCTATAGAGGTGCCTGAACTATGGAGACCGAATTAGTGAGTCTCATGGTAGTTGGAGGCTCCCAGCAACTTGGATGGAACATCTCATGTTTAAACAACCCCACGGTCCACGGTATAGACCTCTGAGACTCTCCGGAGAGTCTTCCGTCTTCTCCGTGGCTCGCGACCGGCCCCCGCAGATCCTGGAAGCCGCTGCACCGAGCTTATTGGAGGCGAGGACGTGGACGGACGGACTGCAGAACCGGAGGGAGCGAGGAGATGGTGTCTGGAGGCGGAACAGGGAGGTGGTGTCTGGAGGTGGCTGGGTGCAATGGTCAAGTCTTGCACATGATGTACAGTAGCGCTTTACTGTAGATAATCTTTTCTGTTTTGCACAAAGAGAGCAAAGGTGGACCGGTTTTACGCAGATCCCGCCAGGCTCCAGCGAAAGGCTTGGAGAATACACTGCTGCGTTGACCTCTCAGCTGGTTGGCGGTTTGGTTTGGTAAAGAGTTGAGATGCCTCGTCAACGATCATATCGATGAGAACGGAACGGATGCATGAGTCTCTCTATCGACGTTCATGCCTCACTCGGTCAGGTCCATACTACTTTGGAGGTGCCACGACGTGTTTTTTTTTGCCAAAGCCAAGCTTCGATTCGTTGGCTGAACGCTTGGATGATGTCGACACACAGGGCAATGCAAGCATCATTCATCAAACATGGCAATGGCAATGGCAAGCTTAGATTTGCTTTAGTGTGCCCCTGTGACCACCTGGCGCGGTCCTCAGAAAAAGTTAAAGAAACACACCGTGCTGTCCAGTGGGTGCTTCGTGGTGCAGGGAAGTCCGAATATATGGATGAGCTCTTCACCCAGCCACTGGCCTCAGCAAGCGGACGTGGTGATGGGTCGTGGTAGACCCTGGAGAGAAAGAGAGCAGTCCGTCAACGTGGCCAGTGATGGTGCAACACCGTGGTGTTCACGTGCGAAATCGTGTCCCTAAATGGTTTCCAACCTCATGCAGACTGGAAGCACGTGCGATGTGGGAATCAGCTGAATGAGCTATTTGGGACTTGTAACTATCTAAGACGAATCTAAGGCGGAGTGCAACCCATAAATTAGGCATACATTTGAGGTCCTCATCAACCTACTGAGAGTGAGGAAACCGAAACCCCACAGTGGCCCTTTCTGGTCGGTTTTCCTCCGCCTCCGCCGAACTGGTGCGAGGCTGAAAGAAGGCGTGGTGGGTGTGAAGAAACAGAGGTCGACAGAAACTTTGAGTTCTGACCATTTCAGCAATGATCATTGAGATCAAGCATGATCTATAGATATGTTCAACAATGATCAACAATTCAAGATGATCTTCAATGATGTGAGTTTAGAACATTTTCAACATCTCAATGATTTTATCTTGGCCACCTTCCAACAACTCAATTGTGTTTGGTTTAGTATGGTGCGTCTTTCAACTGCAGCATAGAAAGCAACGACTTATTGCTTGGACTTTGGCAATTGACACATTTCAGACAGATCTATATGGATCTGACTTCCAGAACTCTCACATGGCTCTCTACAATAGTTACATCTTTGCAAGATATTGAAAGTACGTTTGCCTGTGCTATGGAGGTCACTGCCGCTTGTGTATGGAAGGTGGACGCCTGTGCAGGGCACCGCACTCAGCTTCTTCCGAAAGCGGGTCGCTTTCGGCGCCGATGGAACCTCTGGCTCGTTTCGATGATCACTCGTTTGGAAGAAGAGGGCCTTTTTTCGGAGCCATCCTCCACTGATTGGGGAGCCAAAAGATGAGCCATCAGACACCGTTTTTGCGTTGATTTCAAAGGATTTGGTCCGGATCTCCTGAAAGCAAACCTGTGAGGTCATGGATCTCCTCGTCTTGCGCCCGGATGCTCGTCCAGTCGTTCCATTTGGAGGGACCAGGAAGACGGTGGCTTTCCAGTTAGCCGTTTTCGCATCAGTTGAGATGAGATCACTCTTCATCACTCAGCTCTGTCTTACTGTCTTAGACATAATTTGTATTTGGTTTTACACTGAATATGTCTAAATTGAATCCAAACATAAATAAATAAGCAGAAATCGCATGGTATGTTTTACACTGATCAGCTCGACTCGCAGCGCTCGAAATCCCAACAACGATCGACCCCTCAACGTCTCACCGGCGCCGACGACCGTCCGTCACCGGAGCCAACGAACGTCGAACTTGAGTCTCCAGGCGTGCAGTCGGGTGGCAAGTACTTGGCTTGGGACACCCAGGATGAGAGGGAGAAGAGATGAGAGGAGTAGTGTGGATGAGCCTCAGAAAACTGGCTTGTCTTGACTGGTTGAAAGGTCCGATGTGCCGTCGTGGTCGTTTGGTTCGGAAAAGGGAAGGACATCCGACGTCCATGCGGACGTCCATGCGGCTTGGGTAGTGTTCCGAACTACCAACAGATCGCATTCATCGCTGTAGTACGTCGCACGCGAAACACCCTTTCTGGTATTTCCATGTAGTACAGTATGTCTAAAAGCACCTGAAAAGCTGGCAACCCGCAGCAGGTGGTACAGTAAGCTGAACTTCTGTCCGAATAAGCTGAACTGCGGTTTTAGAGGCAAAGACCTTAAGCGGAAGGTCATTTAGACATTGTTTCGAACCTGTCCCTTACAGAGTTGCATTGACCCCTCTAGCCACGCTCTAGTAAACATATTAATCTATATTATATGGTTGTTTGGGTATAGACTCGTCTATGAATGTGCCATTTCAATCCCTCTTGTGGCAGAACCCCCCTTGGCCGCCCAATTGGCCGCGCTTCAGATTGGCGGCGAGAGGATCTACAGTTGTCCAGAGAGCCGTGAGGCGCACATGAGGCATACATATTGGAGGACCTTCGACCCGAGGGGTCGAAACCAAAAGGGTCACCGAGATGCATGTGTTTCTGATTCACTGCTTTGCATCAACGGCGGTGAATCAGAAAAACCATGCATCTCGGTGACCCTTTTGGTGTCGAGAAAAAACGGTGCCAGAACTTCCAGAACGCCCGAATTCATTCCATCTTTCCGCCCAGGTGCCCCACGAACTCGTTCGCCTCCCGCCATTCCGAACGTCCAGTTCGGAAGCACCAGTTCCGATCACCTCCCCAACACCTCACCTCCAGGACTGCCGCTGTGTCGCCCCGGACCGGGTCGCCCCGTGTCGCGCAGGCGGCGCTGGAGCGCTGCACCGAAGAGCTCGACAGCGACGGGGAGCCTCCCACCGTGCTGGGCGGAGCCGGGACCGGCGCAGACCGGTGGACGCGGCGGCGGGGGACGTGAGACACCGGGGGACGCGGAGGCGACGGTGGCGCCAGAGTGGGCGGTTCTTCTTTTTTGGATGGCCATGAAGAGGAGGATTCGAGGGTGGGCGGGCGTGGTATGGCACGGTGAGGATGCCTTAATTGGGATGTCTTTCTTTTTCGTGGGTGGTTTCAACGGTTTCAACCTTTGAAGGCTGGTACCCTGAAAGGTTGGGACTGTGAGTTGTTGAAGGCTCCTGGCAGATGAAGGCTGGTGAGCCATGATTTCCTCAACAGATGTCGTTTTGGCAAATCATATGCAAAAAGGTGGCTGGACGGACAGAAAAGCATCAAATAGGGCATTTTTGGGGTACGGGTAGGCCAGTTCAGTGGAAAAGCCCAAAGGCGACCTCTTCAAGGTCGTCAGATGTCATCAGGCCGGTGATTTTCGAGGTGTCGCAAGGGTGGCAAGTCCTTTTGCAGGATCACTGCTGCACAAGTCATGGTCATGAACCTCGAAGAGCCTTTGCCTGAGCCACTGCTTGACAGACCAGAGCGATTCCGAAAGATGAGACAGATGTATGAGACAGATACCGCGCACTCGCGTTGCTTGAAATGGAAGGGGGTTCCGCAGTTCCCGTCGAATTCGGTGGTGAGACTGGACCATCCATCCAAACTGGAACTACATTGGGGGGGTGGCTGTTTCATGGGGGTCAATGTCATCAAGTAACTGGCTGTGTAACTAGCTGTTTTCCCGGAAAGGACCTCAAAAGGACCCATCAGGGCCCCGGGCCCATCAGGGCCAGGCATCTGGATCTTTCGGTGTTTCGTGTGAGACGCCACCGAGGCAGAGAGCGAAGCCGAAGAAAGAGCAGCAGGTGTGCCAAACGCCAGACGCTTTGATCCGGGGAGACCGACGACAGGTTTGGATACCGGTGAGACTGACTGAAGATCCATCGATAAGAAAACCTGCCAAGCAAGGCATCAGGTTGCATCAAAGATCGTTCCTCTCCATGTCTGTGGAGATATTTTGTGGATATTTGTGGTATTCATAGCTTCCACACTTCTCCAGGAGGAGAACCCCTTGGACACTCCTCGAAATTGGCGATTTCCGACGGTGGCGCGGCCTCTCGGTGGGGGTGCCTGGAAGAGGAAAAAGAAGGATGAAACTTCACGCCATGAGTTGCGAACAATTGCATTCATGGTCGGTCTGGAGTCTAAATCTTCCAGCAGACGCAGCTTGGGACTGTGAGCTCAGAGCTGCAAGTTTCTTGTGGCTCAAAGCCCTTGGAGTTCTTACGTACGAGGATATGCTGCAATCCCTATTATGACACATAGCGATCTACCGTTTTGCCCCCCGCTATCTCCTTGAAACTTAAACATGCATGGAGTGGAACATGGCAACATCCTCCACAATTTCTACAACACTCTGTTTCTTGGGAGGTAACTTTAGAGGGTGGGTGTGCTTGGGAGAGCACACACTAGCTCAAAACCCTTATAAAACACTGTAAATACCGTGCAAACTTTTAAAAACTGCTCTGAGAACTAGGCGAAACACAATTTTTTGGATCTGTCTGTGCCCAGTCTCCATGTCCAATGTCAATGACAACAAATAACAGCTCTTGGTCTGCCCACTATCAATGTGCAACACCAATGATAAATATTATCAGGTAAATCTCTCTCTGCCCACAATGAATGTAGCATCATGAGCGAATGAAGATATAATACTATACATCTCTAGATGCAATAGCTTTCCTCTGGATCTCTGGGAAGCAGATTTACTAGATTTTTGTACTTTCATTGAAGGAAAGCTTTTGAAAGAAACACTTACATACATACTTATAGCTTTTTTTAAATACCATGACTAATTCCAGAGATCCAGAGGAAAGCTTTTGAAATGAACGCTTTATTCTTTTTTCACAGAAGTGATGAGATCTAGAGGGAACCTGTTGAATTAGAAGCTTGTACATAAAGCAGTTTTAATATAGCAATGATTATTCCAAGGGATTACTTTAAACAAATACTATCTACTCAAAAACATAGTTTTTGTCTTATTCCCAGCACTCGTAGGGCAAGAAACCACAGTAAAATATAGGGTTTTGTAACATGTGTTTTCTGAAACCAACTAAACTAGAATTAAACTAGAATTAGGTAAACTTAAATTAGAAGATTTCCATCAAGATCCTTTTAACATTGAATGTGGAAATTGCTATTTATTAGATATTAGATTGCAATAAAAATCCTTTCCAAGTTCTCATTAAAACTCATTGTGGAAACTAATTCTTATAATTAGATTTTAGTTAAAGTCCTTTTCAAAGTTAGTGGTGGCTTTGATTTAATATCAGATTGTGTTTAACATCGATTTAAGATTAATTGTGGAAATTGTGATGCTTAACTCGATTTGAATTGATTTTGTATCTGTTTGCTCCCCACTACAAGGCAACATCAAATAAAAGGACTTTAGCTAACATCTAATTATAAGAATTGCTTTCCACCATTAACTGTTAACTGAAAATTAATTTCCACAAGCAATTCTAAAAGGGTCTTGATTGATATCCAATACACAAGCAATTCAATCAAATTATGTTGAAAAGCAATTAAAAAAAATCTAAACAAAAACCAATTTCCACAATGATTTTGAAAAGGGCTTTAATTGACATTTAAGTAATGACTAATTTCTACAATGAAATATATTAGGATTTTAATTGAAATCTAATTCAAAATCAATTGCCACAATGATCTTGAAAAGGAATTTAATCGAAGTTGAATTACGCATCTATTTTTCTATATTTAATCTTGAAGAAATGTTAATTGAAATCTAATAAAAAACATCAATTTCCCCAATGATTTTGAATATGATATAAATGAAACTTAGTTTGTAAAAAATCCACAATTAATCTTAAACACATTTTTAATAGACAACTAATGATAAATCAACTTCCACCAATAATTCTGAAAGCGGTTTAATTGAAGTCTAATACCAAAATCAATTGAAATCCAATTTAAAATCAAATTCCACCGTTAAACATAAATGAAGCAAACACACAGTGTTTTACAGTGATTTCTTGCACAAACATCTCCAAAATTGAGGTTTTGAGCTAGTTTTTGATCAATTTTGTGAGATCCAAGATCCCAGTTTGGAGGGAATACCAAAAACCCAATAAACCAAAAGACCAATAAACCAAAAAACCAAAAATAACAAACAAACAAAGAAAAACAATGTTTGAGACAACATGGGGGCACTATTGGTTTTTGGATGTTGGCTGCATTTTGTCTCAAACATTGCTTTTTTTTGTTTGTTTGTTTTTTGTTTATTGTTTTTTTGGTTTATTGTTTTTTTGGTATTCCCTCTAAACTGGGACAGGCTTGGATCTCACAAAAAATTGATCAAACAATAGCTCAAAACCTCAATTTTGGAGAGGTTTTTGCAAGAAATCACTGTAAAACACAGTGTTTTTGCATCATTTTTTGCATGAAAAACATCTCCGCATCCTCCAGAAAAAGCCCATGTTCATTCAAGAAACTAACAGTAAAGGTAGAATCTTGATGAATAACACACATCTCATTGGGATTGAACAACAACATGTAAAAACACCTTTTCCACATTTTTTTGGTCTATTCACGTTCAATGAAACACGAAGTGGACCCCATGTAAGTATCCATATCGATGCCTGATCTTTTCGTCGCGCGTTCGGAACAGGTTTGACGCGCCATCGAGGTCCCACGTCGGGGTTCCGAACCACGCTCCAGGAGGTGCAGGCGTCGGTCGCTTGGGCGGTCTGGACGAGCTGCGCCAGGCCCCTTGCCCGGGATGGAGCGTGATTGGAGAATTGGAAGGCTGGTTTTTCATGGCATGCCGTGTCTGAACACATGCTAAGCTTCAAACGCATCCGTTTGTAATTGTTTTCCGGGTAGTCAGACGTGATCCGATAGCTTGGCTGAGAAAACCACTGGTGGTACCTTCCAAAAGAGCTGGGACGAATTCGGGTGCTTTGGGGGTCGATTGGTCCGACCTGAGGAGCTACGACGCCCACGGTCCGACGCCCTGCCACTACACAGCCCAAGTCGTGGCGTCGTGCGCCGGTCCTGAGTATATGGGAATTGGGTCAAAGCCAGCCTCAACACCATATAGCTTGACCTGACGGTACAGTAGGTCAAACCAAGGTCTGGTAGGTCAACCCTGTTGGTCTGGCGAAAGGTCTGGAAGCGCTGTCCTGTCTTCGTCTTTGGGTCGTAGACGTGCGGTTCGCCCGCCCGGAGAAACCGGCGCCTGGGAGGCTTTTGATGCCTTGATCGCGGAGCAATTGCGAACCAAACCTGATGCGCTACATGTCTTTGATTCATGTGCCTCCGTGGAGGCCTTTGAAGGGGAGTGACATGAGCTGGGTGAAAAGCGAATGCGCTGATATCTGTTGATCACCTTTTAGACAGCTGATAAACTGGATATGCTGGAACTTTCAGAGATGCAGAGATGTGGTTCAAGCAGAATCTGTTCGAACTTTCAAACCAGCGCGAATGGCCCCACGAATGGCCCCACGGCCCCACGAGGTTTATCTATAAGGTCTGAGCGTTGGGTATGCTGAGAAAGACTGGATGAGACCAAGTGGTTCCGGGCTTACTTTGAGATCCACAATACATCACATAAATGATGTTTTCTCGGACGACCTGTGCAATCTATATATTACTGTATCCAAAGTCTTCTTCAACTTTTTGATATGATGTTTTCCACCAACGAAGCCCGGTGAAGGTTTGTATGCACAGTTGCATTGACGCCCGGGCTGGACTGACACGTTGCGATGGCATTTTTTCCTGCACCACTAATGGAGATCTTTTTGGCGGGATACTCTTCCCAAGCATTGCCGATTTGGCCAGTTGGTGGACTTCAGCCAGTTGCTGAATCTCTTCGATCTCCGCATGATCTCGCCGCAAGCTGCGGTGCTTCGCTGTTCCCTAACCCTTCTTCGGCCGCAGTAGAGCCTACTGCGGCGCTGCTCTCCAGGTGGCCTATGAGAGGACTGAGTCGGAGGAATTTCCAGGCGCGGAGGGTGCTGAAAGTGCTTGAACAGTGGGGGTTCAGATCACTGAGATCGGCACAAGATGCAGGGTGTGGGATCTCTGGCACTGAGTGCCAGGCATGTGACGAGCTAATGAATATCTATAACTAGTAGTCATTGGACATCATGAAGAAGCAATTGATGAGACCCACCGAAAACCACTGGTGCAGCTAGAGGAAAACAGTCGGACTGTGCCACCATGTGCCCATGTGCCACTTCTCTCCCGGGTCCATGTGAGTTTTTCGGGAGTGTACAGTTGATTTGGTGGGAGAGCCGGCAGCACAGTTAGATGGCCTGAGCGTAACAGGCATCATCGACCTTCATCGTCGACACTTCTTCGATGCGCCTTGGGCAAGGCGACAAGGAGAAAAGGATCCGGAGCAAAAGGGCTGAGTCCCATACACCCCATACATTGGATTGCATGGACCCCCCCCCGCTGGCGCCTTGCGCGCGTTTCCTGGGTACAACAAAAACAGAAGGGTACAACAAAAACACGACACCATAATTTTAGCCACTCTAAAACTGACTTGCGGGCATACATGGAGTGTTTGCCTCTATAAACCATGACGATAGATCTATAAAGTGACCCAAGGGGGTAGGGAAATTCCTACCACTTCTGCTTCGCTCACCGTGTGACACCACGACTCGGCTGCCCGAATCGGCCCGAAAAGCAGGTCGGTGTCCAGGTGGTGCGGGTCCGGTGGTGCCATGGTGATTGGACGAACGATGTCAAGGAGCTAAAGAGAAGAGGGAGACCCCGGCCCCAAGGGTTTTTGTTCTATTTTCTCTCTGAAAAGGGGGGTCAGAACGCCTGGGAGGTCTCCCCCTATTTTTAGACACACTCAACTGGTCGCGGCACCTGTCTTAGGCTGTGGTGAACGAAGAGGCTGGACGATCGAAGCTGCCGGGGCACAGAGGAGCAATGCTTGAGAGATTTCCGTCAGTGCCAGGACTGGAGATTGAGCGAAGGTGAAGATATATTGTCTTGTATTTCTTTTGTTGTTTCCCATATGTTATCGCCTCGTCTTGGGTGTCTTTCAAGGAAGACATATCTTTAATTGTTTCTTTGTGTGTGTATTTCACAGCAGCAGATCTGGTTTCCACTAATTGGCCTTTTGGAATTGCCTTTTGGAGTTTTGTCAAACAGGGCAAACTCGGCTTAAACGCTTTAAGGACGCAACACCATTGGACAAATGCCTGGCAGCTGTTATTCTTGAAAGGGCGGTATGGATGTTCTGTTAGGGATCCCAATTTACATGGAGCTACTTGACTGCAGCAATAATTAATCGCTGAAAGTTCTGCGCTGGAAGCATCACGCAATGTATTTGCCAGACATCACTTGGAGAAGCTGGTTGATCTCATGCAGGCCAAGGTGTGGCGGTACACAGGTGTTGATTGATGGTCTGTGCTGCTTGCGCTGGTTGTTTGATCCCTGCCTGATGTGTTTGCCTGTGCAGCTGTAGTTCTGTGATTATTTTGATTCAACCATGAGACGAGGTTCTACATGTCTGAGCTGGAGAACAGCCTTCAGAGTGCCTTAGAGGATGTGGAGAAGGACCTGCGTCAGGCTGACTTGTCCTTGGACCTTGTTCTTTTTGTGCTTGCTGGGCTGTTTGTGGCTGTGTGTCTGTAGCCGTGTTTCCTCGGGCTTTTGCCTGTTATTGAGATGTTGAGTCACAGTCTGTGATCTGAGGAGCGATGTTGATGTTTGGAAGATAGGGGGTGCTCCTGAAGCTTGTTCCTTGGAAGACATGAGGCACTGTTGAAGAAAGCTATGGCTATGGTGCTGGCTTGCTGTTGCTGTTTCTGGCTCGCTCTTGACTTGACCTTCTCAATCCTGCTAAGGTTGAAAACAGGTCCTGGAGAATCGGGGGGTCAGTCAGAGCGCGCCCACCATTGTTTTGCTGCTTGACATGTCAGGAGTCAAGTCATCAGCGTGTCACTGACGGCTCGTCTTTGCACACCTTCGTTCATATTTGCACAATCCCAGCGGTAGCGGCAGGCTTTTGTCACACCTTCTGAACCCATCGTGGCGTTGGACGCTGCTGCCGCTACTTCAGCAGGTGCCAGCAGTGTTGTGCAACAAGCGCCATTTCTCTCCATTGTCGTTGCGCAGCTGTTGCAGTGCAATGCAATCATTGGCATTCAATTCATCATCAAACATGCTCGCAGTTAGCGCTGTCCAAAAATCATTCTTGCCTGCGGCTCCTGGTCTCAGACGGACATGTGCAGTCGAGGCCTAGGCCCATAGTGCGGGGCCTTGCAGTAACCATGTTGTAGGCATGAAAGGCGTAGCGGCGACTCAAGGTCCTCCAACTGCCTGTGGGTGGGAGCTATGTTTGGTGGTCTTTCATCCTGATGACATGCAACGGCCTGGAGCTTCTCATAATCCGCCATTAGCATCAAGCCCACAAGTGTCTACAAATGCAGCGGGAACAAGGGGGGCGTGGGCTTGGAAGTTTCTTGAGGTCACACTCAACCAACATTATTTTACATGCATGACGGTGCTGTCAGGACAACCAGTGCATTTTGACAAATTTGTCAACTATGGGGCCAGATGTGCGTGTTGGTGTATGCAGCCTTTGAGGATAGCTTGATAGACGTTACTTTACCAAGCCGCATAGATTGGCTGGCGTGGCGCAAAGTGGCTACTGATGCCGTAACGCTCTTGAAGCAGGTCTTTTTGAACGTGATTGAGCGTGGAGAAGGCAAAAAGGTTCGCTGGCATTGTTGTGTCAGTGTGCGCGCGTGGCTCCAACAGGGCATCTCAAATCTTGAAGAAGCTTGCTGCAGAGTTGACACGTAGCCGGGCGCAGGGGGAAATGTATCGAATAAGGAACACCTTCCAAGGAAGAGGCCGAAGAGCTGTGCGACACGTATACTGCAAAGCGCGGTTCTCCACGATGTCTTTGCGTTACTGATTTTGCTCGTTTGCCAAGAAAGCATTCGCCTGGAAGCTTGGAGAAGCTCTGCGACTGTGTAGATCAGACCGTGTGCTGATGCCTTGCTTGTCCCTGGTTGAGCTGAGTGTGGATTGGTCACTGTTGCAAGTTGCAGCTGTCCATAATGTTGCGGTTTTGTTGCTTGATTACTGAGCTCTGTGTCATTGCAGTTTGGGCAGCTGCTTCATGTATTCACTGGTTGCAGGCAGCTGCGCGCGTTGCAATGAATCGAATCCATCCTCCCAATGCCATGTTAGGTGCTGTCAAGCTTGCAGCTCCCAGCTGGGCGCTTTGTGCGGGGAGGTGTGCGTAGCAAGTTGTAACCAATAAGGTGCTGAGGTGAGACCTCTTCGATGCAGCCAGCGTCACTTCAGAGCGTGAAAGATCATCCAAGTGAAGTCTGGTTAGCTTGCGCCCTGAAGTGCCCAAGCATGAACTGCGACCTACCACTTCCGGCGGCGCTGAGACGACCCTGGGGCCAGGATTTTGGAGGCTGAAGTGCAAAGAGAGACTGAAACTGGGAAAGGTTAGGCCGATTTTGGCCGTAGATTTGTGCGCAACCACCGCAAGCAGCTCAACAAGTGCCCAGCCCGAGCCTTTTTCGGCCAGCGTCTCGAACCTAGAATCCTCTTAAAAGGAGCGGGTCCAGCTGCAGCTGCGCACGGTCACAAGGACAGAACAGTCAACGTCACCAAGCCTGGTAAACTCCTTAACCCTGGATCTTGTTCAAATTCTAGCCAATTGGGAGCACTGCTTTGTGAGTGCGCATTCTCACCAGAAACGTGCTTTGTCACGTGCTTATGACAAAACCCCAAAAGGCAAAACCAAAGGCACACTTAGCAAAGTGCTGACCAAGTGCTTGCGAACTAAGATAGCCACAGGGCTTCAAGTTGCAAGTTCATCATCCCAGTGGAAACATGTAGGTAAGGGTTCAATCTGAATGGCGTTTGAGTGGAAACATCTGGAAGTTCGTCGCAAAGTCATCGCCAAAGCAATTTGTGCCAATCGCTTGTAGAAGCCAACGTTCATTTCTCACAACTTTCCCGTTTCAGGACATCCTCCTCAGAAACCTTAAGAAGGTTCCCAAGTTGGTGTCCTTCCACATTTCACCCCCAAGCCAAGACACCATCAAGCACCCCGTTTTGTTTTCATCGAATCCTGAAGACCGCAGTGATTCACCCTGCGGATCCGATGCCATGCATCGCGAGGTCTCAGATTGGCTTCCCGGGGGAGCGGCCTTTTCACACCTCGACGCTGCCGGCGGAAGATGTGTCCGGACGCCCGAGACCGCGAGGGGTGGATCTGGTTGGATTTGCTCTTCAGTGATCTAGACACATATCTGATCAAATTTGGACCTCGCATTTTATATAAAAGGGGTGTCCAATGGAGATCCATAAAGTAGTCACTATGGTATCTATAGTCATTTGTAGTGCGTGGTTTTGGGTCAGTGTAGTCTGACTGTTAGGTGAGAGTGGTAGTTCCTTGGAAGCAGCTGGGAGATCTCTTTCGTGTTTTTTGGTGAAGAGCGGAAAGACGGTGGTTCGAAGTTCAAGAACTTGAGATGGACCGTTCAAGGAAAACATTGCAATCTCGTGCAATGCTGCGAACATACAGTAGAAATCAGTACTGGTTCGCTGAGATATTATCTTTTGGTGGGATGTCTTCAACCTGGTTCTTCCACAGTAGGATGATCACCTCTCTGCTCCTTGCTGAGTCTTTGGTGCTGGGCGGAGGAGGCCGATTGTGAACGCTTGGGCGTCCAGGCACGTGGCACTCATTCACCACGGGGCACGTGGCGTGCCCCTTCAGACAGAACCCCTTCAAACCCCTTCAAACCCGGGGTGTGCCGAGGTCGCCCTTGATGGTGTGGCCGAGGTGGCCCTTGAGGGCTCTTAGGTCTTGGGGGGGGGCAAACTCCAAGAATGTGGGGGGTGGGGGCAGACTCTTCAGCCTTTCCCTGCAACCAGGTGCGGGTGGATTTGGACGAGGACCCCGAGGCAGATGAGATGCTGCGCGCCTTCCGAGCGATCCCCGTGCGGGACCCCGAGGAGGACGTTCGCCCTGGCGGGGCGCTGGGCGGTGATGCAGAGGATGTGTGGTCAGAGGATGCAGGTCAAAGAGGGACCAAAGGAGGGATGGTCAAGTGACTGATGATCTATTCATGTGGCTTCACTTGAACAATGGATATGGGGGTGATTTGGAGCGACCCCCCAACTCCCGTGTGTATGTGGTTCAAAAGCCTGTACTTGCCACCAGGAATGTAATTTCATTCAATCAAGAAGAGTCGTGCTCTTGGGGCATCTTCAGCCATTTTCAACTGCTACTAGCAGCCAGAGGGTCTCTTCGCTGGGACCATGGAGCTTTTCTGAGGGTTCATGAACCAAACCTCACTCTGCTCCCCCAGACTACTCTGAACTCCAGGCCAGCAAGTTGCGCGGGAAGCCCTTGGATGATCTCCTACGAAAGTACGGCCGGGGAGCCTCGAGTGCGGCCGATCACAAGTATGAAACAACTTAAACAAAACAGCAGTTCCCTTTTCAAAACGTGGGATGATTCTTGGCTTCACCAGGTCTTCTAGAGGACTTCTTAACGGATCTCAGCACAGCTATCGATGGTTTTCCAGCAAGGAGGGTAGGACCTGGTAGGAGTGTAGGAGGGCAGGATCTTCTGGTCAGATCGAGGAAACCAATGGATCTCCGTCCTCTTCCGGCCGCGTTCCGGGGGGTCGACGCGAGGCTTTCTGCGTTCCAACGCCGCCGTGTCACAGAAGCCCTTGCGCACGGTGGCACGCTTTGCCCGCAAGCCCAGAGAGCGCCCCAGCTTCCTCAGACAGGCTCAGAAAGGCTCCAAAAGGCTCTGAAGATGGGATTGAATGTTTGAATTAGTTGGATATTACCCTCCCTCGCAGAAGCATGGAAGGAGATGGGCACCCCGGCACCTCCGGCACGGGTGTTTGCAGGGGGCCATCCATGGCCATGCCATGCACCTGAAACATGATGGTTTCAGGGAGTGTATACACCTGAAGTAGTGAACATGACAGGCAGGAATTCTCCTTTCAGCTCTTCAGATGCCATCAGGTTTGGTGAAAGATTTGATCCATTCCCAGCTCAAGGTGCTCCATCAAACGATGGATACGTTCGTCTGGATACAGTACGTGGTTTCGTACGCGGAACGATATGGAAGGATCACTTCGTAAGACGACTACAGAGGTTTCGGGTGGTTGTTCTCAATTCTTAGAGGTAAACCTGGTTCAGGTCCTGGTAGCTGGTTCAACTCCTCCGTTGATTTCGCCAGGACCATTTCCCGGCCGTCGGTCACCTGGCTGGACTACCCTTCACATCCCTTAAAGACAGGGATGGTCTAGACAGGATGGTCCAGACAGGGGACACCTTGCAGTCCCATGGGTTCTTGTATTTGGCACGGACAGTTTGCCCGTGATGGCCCGTGTTTTGGCACACGTTTCTTCCGACCGAGGCTGGCGAAGTGGCGCGGGGCCAGTCAGCGGCTGAGCCATCATGACACTCCATGTATGGAAGACTTACAATAGCTGATACATTGATATAAACCCCATGAACATAACCCCAATCTAACTCCAGTCCCATGCGCCTGCGGACTGCAGAAAGTGGGCCAAATCTGCTGAAAGGTCCTTCCTTTTGCTCCCCCCTTCTGTGTCGACACAGACCTGCCTGGCGCCCGCCCCTCGCCTCCGAGGCTGCGGCTGTGGGAACGCAAGTCGCTCAAAGCACGAGAGAGCTCGGAGCTCTTTCCCGGGCTGAGCCAAGATGGAGGGGAACTCTTGCCGGAGCTCCAGCCGAGATAGTGTTGGGGGGGGGCGGAGTGGGTTGTGTTGTTCGTGAACTGTGTGCAAATCACAGTTACTTCGGGTGTGGTTCGCGAACGGGTTCGAGTGACCTGGTGTTTTCAGCGTGGACCGGTGGACCGGTGGTGCCGTTTAGGGGCGGTCGCAAGGAAAGAAGCGGGTGCCAAAAGGGAATTCCAATTCGGGTCACTTGGAACCGAAAAAGTAATTTCATACTTCAGGTATTCTCTTCAAAGTCGAACTGGGCTGGGCAGTCGAACCAACCCGAGGGGTGGGTTTCTGAAGCGCACGAAATCGGGTGAAACGCCTTCTGCGAAGAAGCGAATCTTAAATCGGGTGTCTTCTGCTCCAAAATCCTTGCCATTCGAGACAAAAAAGGCACTACAGTCTAAAAATCCCAACGCACAATCTTTAGACAAACGTGTGTGTATGTGTAAACAAATTGAAGGTTCGGCCACGTGAGTTGTTTTGGAGAAAAACCAGTAAACATGTAATTTCCACATATGCTTCTATAGAGGTTTTAGCCTTGAAGAGATTGTGCACTTGATTCTAGACGGAGATTGTGCCATTTGTTTTGCAGTCCTTGGCTCTGCGTACATGCATTTTCTCGGTGTTGCTGCTCTTGATTCTATACAGTTGCATTTTTTCAGGTTTTTTCTACTTAGCCTCATGTACCCAGATGGAAAGGCTTAAACAGAAAGTCTGCTCTCTATATATATTGTCTCCTTATTGTCTCCTTATCCCTCAAAAAACCACTTGGAGGATCCATTTCTTCTGTACTTACCCCGGTCAGAACCCACCCACCGTCGGTCCGGGCCTCGAGCTTTGAGGCTTTTGGAAGAGATCCTCATCCTCCGCGTGCGCAGCGCGAAGGCACGCGCGGCGGCAAGACCGAGAGGTCGAGACTTCGAGGTCTTCGAGTCGTGCCGTGTCGTTCGGTTTGCGTCGGTTCGTTTCTTCAGAAACCTCAGGTTGGTACGTTGGAGTGCCAGTGCTTCCATGAAAACATCTTTGTTTCAGCCACCACTCTGACGTTGGGCGCCCGCGTACCGTGGCACCTGCGACATCTCTCAGGGAAACCTGATGGTTTGCGCCAAGCAGTGCATCGAGGGCACGGGGTCCAAGAGAGCGACCCACAAGGGGTGGTTAATGATGGTCAATGGACACCCCCGAATCACATCTAAGGGGCTATCAATAGAGGTCCGGGTGTCCGGGTGTCCTGGAATTGATGAGCCATTGACTGACACTCACCCTCTTTTTTGATTTCGGGGGTCCATTGATCGGCATAGAAGAATCATGGAGGTGTCTAGGTGTGTGTGCTAGTAAGGATTGGTTGTCGCTCTCTGTTAAAGAGACTCAGCGATCCGACGTCTGCCTCCGTGGAGACGTGGCTCCGGTTAGCCACCGTGGAGCTCAAGCCAGTAGGACTAGGACTAGGACAATTTTGTGGCCGTGGGCAGAACCTTCTCGGCGGCAATGCCAACTTGGCGCTATCACTTGACCTTCATCGACGAGGAGCCCAAGCTGAAGCCCTCCTCGCGCAGCAAGAGTGCTCCTCCGAAGCTCTTTCAGTCTGTCCCCAGTGTCTTTGAGGAAGGACGACTACAAAAGAAGAATCTCCAGAATCAGGTGCGAGGTATTCATCAAACATTTGTGAACCCGCTTGGCCTATTTTTTTAAAATCACATACACACATATTTGACATTCTAGTTATTCACAGGGTGACCCAGTTTGCTGCATCGCCCATCGAAAACCCTCCAACGACCACCAAAAGCAACAAAACTCCAATCATCCTGAGAGGTGACCCAGTTCGGTGTTTCACTCACCGGCGGTTTCGTGGATTCGATCGTTCCACGGGTGCGCCACGCAGGTGGCACACTTGGAGAAGCGATCTCAAGGATTGGAGCGGCAGCTGGTGTATCCCACCACATCCCCGAGCCTGGGCAGCTGTGGTCATCCTGAACTTTGTCGCAGGCAGTGCATCAACTTCGCCAAGGGCACCTGCAACTTGGGGGCGGAGTGCCGCTTTTGCCACTTGTCCCATCCACACAAGCAATGGAAGTTGGACAAGAAGCAGCGCGAGATTCTGAGGAGCCTTTCGCCTTCCAGCGTACTGGCCATGTTGCTCCCCCACTTCCGACGCAAGGTGGAGGTGGAGAATCTTTACCAAGCCAACGAGATGATTGACATGTTGGAGCGTGAGCTGATGTTGAGGCCGGAACCAGAGGAGACACAGGAGGTCAATGTGGTGAAGATGAGCCGTGTCTTTGAGAAGATGCCCTTGGCAGCTCTGGTGGGTTTGGTGTCAAACACACAGTTCTCAGGCGCATTCCCACAACACTTGAAAGCTGCTCTCGAGGCAATTCGGGTTGAAATGTCTTGAAGTGTTTCGCCCATGGACAGAGGCTGAATGAAGTGTCACCAGGATCTCATTTGAATCAAACTCTTCGTTGAGTTGTGCATTCTGGAGGAGTGCACCGATGAAGACGCTTGAGGAACGGTGACAGACTTGAAATTAAGGAGGGCCGGTTTGATGCCTTTCTTTCTCTTTAATTCACACTTTAAATTCTTCTAAGGCTTTGTACAACGCAAGACCTTTGCACGATTTGCCTAGAAAAAAGATGTGCTTTTGCTCACAAATGGGAGCAAAGCTGTGCACATCCTTTCTGCCGAAGGTGGCATGCCTCCACAGCAAAACTGAACAGGTGCTGGAGGCAGCTCACAGTATTGTTGATGCTCGATGGGGGTTCATCCTCAAGGGCGTCATCACCTTCCAGTTCGTTCATGCCCAGTCTTCACACCAGCCGTACAACAGATGAGCTGGTGTGGGACTGACGCTGTGGCTCAAGAGAAGACCCAAGGACATTGAGACATAGAGTCTTCGTTTTCCTCATCCATTCACCCGGCGATGATATGGGGACAACCTTGTTTTGAGCCACCTATAACTGATCAAGATGGATACTTGCAGCTGATCAGTCGCCCCTGTGTTTGAGAATTCAGACCCATTGGTCCAGATTGGTACCAGGTTTCAATGCAGGGTGGCCAACACCAGAAATGCCGTAACACAAGTGTCACTTGTGAGTCACAAGAGTATGGGACATCTGCGTTAAAGGATTGATGTGTTCTATGTTTCCTCGAGGCTTTTCGATTCGCCACCCTGTTCATCCTGCCCTTTGGACTTTGTAACACGCTACCGGGGAGCGAAAAGAGCCGACGCGCACCGCCACGTTGCTTCGACACACCGCGACACAACAAACACCGCGGTGGAAACCGGGGCCGTTTCACCGGGGAGATCGAAAAAGCGGGGCGCTTTCCTTCCGGTGCCTCGGTGCCTTCCGGTGCTTCCGGGTCGCTCCGGTCGCACCGCGAGACGGGGGGCGAAGGAGACAGACGCGGATCGAAGCGTCCGAGGCGAAGAGAGCAAATGGATGCTCTTTGGATCTTCCAGGAGCACCGGGAGTGTTCCCGCACCGGGCGCGGAGAGAGCGCTCCGCTCGTGGCGCATTTTCTACCGGGGCGGCAGCGGAGAGAAGCGAGGGAGGAGTGCGACCAGGGGGGGGGAGGGAGGCGTAGACCGGGCGCGGCGAGAGAGCGCCGCGCGTGTGCGGGAGAGTAGACAAAAACACCATGTTTCATGATGCTTTCTTCGGTTTTTGTGAGGCAGGCAGGCAGGACCGCCCTTCATCGACCCACCACGTATCCACATGGCCGTACTTCAGAGGAGAAGTGCCGATTCCTGCTTCTTCCCAGAGGTTCGACTGAAGAATGGTGAGGTGGCTGGGCAGAGCTTGAGAGAACGGCCTCGAAGCGAGTGGCTTTGGGTCGTCACCCGGTTTTGAGGACAAAGAACAGCACCCTGAGGTGTGCTGGGTTTAACAAAGACATGCAAAAATCATGCCAAGACCCTGTGGATCCGTGACATGTTGTGATACTTCCTCATCTTCCTTTCTCAGGTCTGGCGGTATTGAACTGAACAAAGCTCTTTAAAGCAGCAGCACTTCACAACATTTGCAGAGCTCCCCCAAGTCCACGAAACACGTGAAACTCTGGAGTCTCCGTGGGGGTCTGGTCACCACTTTTTGGTTTGTACTGCATCACACTGGGTTCGGAAGATGGTTGAGACAAACTGCTTGACTCTCGGGATCTCGTCAGTCGAGTCTTCTCATGATACATCGGACGGAGGACACGGAACTCCTCATAGTCATTGGAGATGTACCCCAGACCCTAGGGATCCAGTCGTACCGAACCTCAGAAGGTACGACTGGACCCTCCAAACCTACATGACAGTGTCTCCGATCACCGTACCTGAGAAGGTACTTGGAGCCCTAGGGTGAGAAAGTTTCTCAAGGATTCGTTTCTTCTGATGACTAACGTATAGTGTAGTGTCGATCTCAAACACGAAGTCATACGGTACTGCCAATCCTGTAATCCTGTGAAGAGACCCCTTAGTCAGTCTATATAAAGATATTATATAAATACATCAATTAGTCACTCATGTTCCACAGGTTTTTTGCACAGAAAAAAACACATTTCAAGGTTTATCAGTTTATCCTTTTTTAGTAACTAATATAATCGTGGTTTTCCCTTCTTTGCCAGCAAAAGTTTTCTTATTTTTTCTTTGCTTCTTGGAAAAGCCAAGGTCAGAGCTCAGTTTCAAAGTAACATCTTATTTTTGGTCTTGTTCCTTAGCGCAGAAATTTCACAGTTATCTGACGGGTACTTATTATATCTTATTATGGGCCTGGGTTTAGCCGCTTAGCCAAGGTTACGTATCCCTTGCACGAGTAAACAAACGCTTGTAAATCAATTCAATATATTTAAGGAACTTATAACAACCTTACAGAGAGACAACCTAAACTCAAAGCAAAGTTTAGCTGACTTTAGTCAAGTTTAGCTAACTTTTAGTTTTCCTACTTTTTGGCCAAGTTGTAGTAAGTTTTTGGAACTTTTGCCAACGCTGCTGCTGCTGCCGTGCTCCTGTCTTGCTGGCGTTCTTCTGCTGGTGGTTTGCTGCCCGCGCTACGTTTATTTGCTCATTTTGCTGCCATTCATTGTGGTACATAGTACACACCCAAAAGCAGCGCTGTCCCCGGGTGTCCCCATATACAGACTTGGCCGTGACTTATTTATGGCGTTGTGCCCTCAACTTGTGGTGTTGTGAGGAGGTGGATGGCAAGAAACATTTCTACAACGTACACCTTGACACAGTCTTGTTTCCTTTGGATGAGCGGGGATGGCCAGTGACGGTGTTTTGGACCGCCAAGATGAGGCGAAGACGGTGTTTCGTGCGTGCCGTGTGCGCAGACTAGGTGGCCCAACTCACTCACTAAACTGATACTTGGGGTCTGTCCTAGTACCTGTAACAGTCAGTAAACATCAGTAAACAATTATCACTATTGTTGGACAAGGCCTTTACTAACCATCATCATCCACTGTTACAGGTAATAGGATAGACCCAACTGATACTCATTCACTTCCCCACACTCACTTTCTCCCGAGGCCGTTTTTCTCCAAGCCTCGGGTTCCTAGACTTACAGAGCACATACTAAATCTATAGGTGGTTCATTGCAGAGGTCAATGTAGATCATTCCAGTCCCATGGGTCGTGTTTCGGTCTATCAATCTGGCCACTTCTTCCGCCCACTGCGTTTGGACTCGCTCTCCACGCCTGAACTCACTGCGCGCACGCCCCCTTCCCCGCGGCCGAACACCTGGGGTTCCGACCGAACTGGCGCGGGACGCCTGAGGACCCGGTGGTGGCGATTCGACGGGTGGTCATGGAACATCTACACCTCTCCCAGGTCAGACCGGTCAGAAGGGTTTGAATGGTAACGAGCGAAGACGAGAGACGGTTCGGAAGTCGGTGGGCGGGGGTCGTATTGGATTTGGGAGATAGGAGATCAGGAGATAGGAAGGCTGCACCTTCCAGGGGTGGTAGACATGGACACCCCTTAACAATCCTTAACAGCTAAGGGGCCTATAAATAGACACCCCGAAGGAGTCGGGTCCTGGTGGGTTCCTGATGTGGTTGAAGTTGAAGATGGACAGACACAGGAGACCAACTGATGATTGGCGGAAGCATGAGGTTGAATTCGGCTTTCTCAGAATCTTGTCGTTCACCGTTTTTTCTTTTTGTTCACCGGCTCTTCCATGCGGAAGTTAGGTTGCCAGCTTGGCCCTGCCGAGGTCAGGTTTTGCCAAAGGATATCGATTGGGAAGACAACTTGTTACTATGCCCTTGTTACATAGTCGTTCTTGCTACTAATCAGTCTACACACAAAACACGACGGCATGAGCTTTCTCCAGGCCATGCCAACGTGCATCATTTTTGGGAAGAAACAGCTGGAGGACTGAACTTCGCCGGCTGGAGACCAGTGGAATCGATGGAGTTTGGTCTGTTGGGTGTGAATGACTTCGATGCACTCCGAAGGGTCCCAACCACAAGGGTGGTGGGTGGTTCGGTGCATTCCGACCCTCCTGGCAACGCGAAGCCAGTCTGTCACTCTGTGGAAGAAGGCTAGGGCCCTAGGGAGGGATTGGCCAAACTCGCCCACCACGAGTTCAACGTGGGTGCAACATCCTGTAGTGTGGGTTCAACCGTATCTGCTAGTCACTGGCAGCACTGTGATGAAGCTATTTTCACCAGATCGGTGTCCGAAGAGCAGAAATGGTACTTGCACTGTGCACCTTTGCCTATAGGACCTTCAAGGGGTGGTAGACATGGACACCCCTTAACAATCCTTAACAGCTAAGGGGCTATAAATAGACACCCCGAACGAGTGGGGTCCTGGTATACATGGTTTCATATCCCTGGAAACTGATCAGCTTTGTTCACACCAGAGGATTTGACCAGCATCCACAATCTTTCACCAGGAGCAGCATGGTCACACATGCTCACACATCACGCATGGTCACAGCCAGATTGAACACACCAGGAGCAGCGGGCACAACAAGGTTTAGCCAAGTTGGTGGTGCGCCAGGCGAAGTCCAAGTCCGGACCCGCATCCAGAACAAAGGCAAAACATGCCGAAAACGAGAGCTGATCATGTTTGGATGATGTATTCCACACAAAATCCGGGTCAATGAATGGTAGATGAGACTCCCTGAAATCAGCTGTCGAGCAGAAAGCTACCACCAGCGGTTTTTGCTCATCATCAGGGGTCCTTCATCCGAACTCTATCCATTCACGAACATGGACCCATCCATGATGCTAAACTCAAGAAGGTTTTCCCATATTACTTGAACATGGGACCCAGACTGGAATATCCACCCATCCACCCATCCACCCATCCATCCATCCAACTCTTCTGGTCTGGGATCGATATGGGTTTGAGACGCCACGTCGCGGGGGCGGCCACGTCTCCAAGTCTTCCCGGTCCGCGCGTCCTCGTGTGGAGGACGTGAAGAAGGAGGGTTCGTGGCTTTGGGCATTTTCCCTGACCGCAGTTGGGAGAAGGTTTTGAACTGGATCCAACAATGATCGAACTAGATCCAGTTCGCACTGGCCTCCTTGGTCCCACCTCCAAACCTGCGCAGATGGTGGACGTGCAGCTGGGTGAACCTGATGTGGCCATTCTGTGCTTCGGTCGCAGTTCAAGCGAGCAGCCTTAGGAACTCATGAACTTGATTGCCATGCACGGTTTTTCACATGGACATGAGAGTGTCAATGTCATCTAAACTCCTAACGTTGATCACCACAAAAAGAAACACCTTGCGGGGTTCAGATCAGGGTCTACCAGCTGTACCGAAACGCAGCACATGTTGAAGAACCGGCACGTGTGTTGTGTATGTTTCGCTTTAAACAAGCATCCCGCAGAGCGTGGCACAATCTCCGTTATAAGGGTGGCCCTCATGACTCTCCTGTTCAAGTGTGGCTTATTCTCCTTTTCCAGTGTGGCAGTGTGGCGTTCTTGGTCCAGGTGCTGCTTGATGATGCCTGGCATGGAGATGGAAGCTGAAGTGCCGCGCCCAACAAACATGAGGACATCTGCATGAGTTTTGGAGCTCTTCCCAACCACTTTCCATTCAGCAGAACATCGACATGGGACGGACGGGCTGGAGGTCTTTGGAGTGAGTCTCCAGCGTGGCCGGCCCCACGACGAGGCGGAGGACTCCCGACGGCGGAGGGCGGGGGATGTCATGGGAGGAGCCTGAAATCATCGAAGGATGATGAAGGATGGCGATATGATGGAGAATGTAGTGTCCATCTCTATATAATGTACAGAATATTAGAGAATTATGTGTATATATATATAGATATACAGATATCAGATTTGCTTGATCGATAGATGATAAGATGATACATGCTGATATATTTCATGTATCACACATCGAATATATCATCAAATCAAAGCACATCAAATCAATTCAAATCAATTTAAATCAAATCAAAGCAAAGCAAAGCAAAGCAAATCAAAACAAATCAAATCAAATCATCCTCTTTCTCAGGCAAAATCTCATATTTCTTCATATTTCTAGACCTGCAGCTTGGTCTGTCGCTGCGTCACCCGGTCAGACCGCACCACCGTGGCCGTACCCGGTCTGACTACCGCACGCACGCTCCCCTCCGGTCTCCGGTCTCCGTCAACTCTTCACGGTTCTGAAGAGGACTCGGTGGTGGCCGCCATGATGCAAGAACTGGTGGAAGGGTCCGACTCTCAGATCCGACGAATGGAGTTCTCACGTCGGTTCTGAATTGGTGCGACGCGTCTCTCTCGCGGGGAAGGTGGCTGAGGGTGGAATGGAATGGATCCACCAGGTAATAAGAGCTGACCTGAGTGGTCCGAGCTGACCTGAATGGATCCAATCGAATGCTCTATTGGGGGCGGAAGCCTTCCCTGATTCCCCTTGCGCGCTCGCACCCAGACGTGAAAACGACGCTTCCGAACCGACGGGACGGGACCCGCGTCCGGCGGACGGGTACGGGTCGACGTTGCGCGGTGGTCTTCGTTTGGGCACACAAACGTCTTGGGGTTCGTGCCCACTCGGAGCTTTTCTTTTTTTTCCGGTCGGCTTTGGTCTTGTTTTCACCGAAAAGCTTTCCTGGGATCGTTCCGGAGCTGGGATGAAGCAAAAACACAATGGTGAAGTAGATGACATGGCATTGCGATGGGAATCCTTTTTGAAAGCTTGGGTTCAAAATGGGTTCAAAGTTCAAGTGGCTGTGGTTGAACTTGGTTTGCAATTCTAACTCTGGTGACTCTCGAATTGCGTGGCAGAGGTCCGGGAAGGTCGACGTAGGTGGCTAAGAGTTCGAAGATCAGCAGGAAAAATTGATAGCTGAGACGGTTTAAGATGTTTGAGGCTTTTGGCATGATTAATTTTGAATGGGGTACCTTTTTGTTTAAAGCCCGGTCTGGGTCTTGGGGACATGACACGAAGTCGCATCGGCTTCGCGGTCTGTCATGGGCCCCTTGGGACGTTTCCGCTGGCCAGGGCGGATTGCCGAGTCTCGCATCCACCTTTGGCACTGGAGGGAGACGTGAGTCGGACGCTCAAATGCGGGGAGTGCGACGGCGCGCCAGCGCCCAAGGAGAAGGGTGGTTGAAGTCGAACTATTAAGGTGTATAAGGTTTTTAGGGATCCATTGAGCTTCCTCTTGCATTTGTCAAACTTGTTGGTCACAGGGGGAAGGTCAAGATCTGTAAGAAATTCGCCTGAACTTGATGCTCCTCCTATATTATCCTATAAGATCCTATAAGAAAACATGTTAATCCCGTAGGTAGTGTTCTTGAAGAAATGCACATCCAGTCTTTTGAAGGTTTGAGCGGGTTTTTTAAGAGATGAAGACTGCTGTTTTCTTGGGCTGAAGGCGGACAACATTTGCGCAAATTCTCGCATTTGCGAGAACTGTGGCGAACCGTTAAAATAGGATCTGTGAGAGGGCTCCATGCGCTTTTGGAGTGCTTGAACGAGCCCTTTGAAATCAAAACACCTCACCAACACATCGATTCGCCATCGTCCGATGCGTTGTCTCCGCCGATCCTTCGACACCGCGCCGTCGGCGGTGCCGAGCCACGGGTCTTCCAGGTCCCTCCTTCAAGGAAGCACAGCTGGCCACGCGAGCGGCCCAGAAAGATCCCACCTTGCTGCGCTTCCTGCACGAGGCGGGGTGTGCTGGGGGTGCACGGGGTGCTCCTTCCCGAATGATGCGGACGTGATGCCCTGACTGCGGCAAGTCCATGGTGATGGTTTTTGGCATGCTGCCATGTGCTGAGAAGAATGATACAATTAATGGAAAAGAGATGTAAAAGCGCTGCCAGGCGCTGCCGAATCATGCAATTCTTGGGAATGCAGTCCATGCCGCATCCGAGTCACGCCGTGTAGCTTCGTCCCTTAGCAATCCACCCCGCCAAGCGCCACAGAGGCTTGGCGCTTGGGCAGCAGACCAAAGGTGGAGGAGCGGGGCTGAAGAGCTGTGGGCAGTCAACGGCTCCAGTCTCATATCCCAGACACTCCTTGACCTCTGTATTCACCTTATATAACATAGGCTATAGATGGCTATAGGTCCATATTCCATACATTGACCTGGCGTGCTGGGGATGTGAACCTCCCTCATTCGACCCTGGTCGACTGTCAGTGCAGTCCCGTCGGACTGGGACTGGGCATCGGGTCACCCTCGACTGATGCCCAGAGGGGTCCGTTCAGAGAGCGACGGATGGAAGACATGGAAGACGGGTGGGCGGAGGTTGCCTGGGCCGGAGTTGCCAGGAGAAGCAGGTGATCCAGCAGGCAGAAACACCCGAAATCGAAGATCTGGAGATGAGACCGGCAAGCGTTCATGAGCCAGATGCCTTGAAGGGGATGTTTCAGAATGATTTGCAGATTAGGATGATGTAGGAGAATGACTTGAATACAGTACGATACAGTATGATACAGTAGACGATTCTTGTTTGATATTACATTCCGAACTGGCCCATGCTGCCAGCATGACCCAGCGACTGGCAAGAAGATCTACCGTGACGTCCAGCCCTCAGTGGTGCAAGGATAGCTTCTGGAAGCCCTGGAATCACCTGCAGAAGTACCTGGACCCAACGCTTCTCCCAAGCGTCTGAGGCCACCTGGCTGTGCCAACCGCTGGTGAGTTGCCTTTGCGAGTGCCGATGCTCAGTGATGTTGACATTAGTTGTATTTCTATGTGCAAAAGTCGACAGGAACGTCACAGCCGGCTCCGCTGCCATGCGGAGCATGTTCGTTACTTTTCTTTCAGGACCCCTCGATTGGCTGAACGCTTCATCCTCTACATGCTGCATTTTGCCGGCACAGGCAGTGTGATACGCTTCTAACAGAGCATGTAGTACGTTGCCTCCAACAGAGATGCTTCTTATGCTGTAGATCTTCTTTTCATGTCTTTTCACTGTGTCTGCTTGCTCGCCGCGAGTTCCTCGACGTGTAGTGTGGGAAAACCCGCGACCGCTCGTAGGCGGCGATGCCCCGCTGGTACGCCCGGTGCCCTTCTTGCCGGAGCGCTTCGTGAAGCAGGCACCATCGTGGTGATGCGGCCTGTACTGACGGCGTACGGCTGCTGATGTTACAGACATCGCCCCCAGTAAGTGACGTGAAACGATGGCCCAGTAAAAAGATGCCCAAGGAAGCTTCTTCTTATACTATATGTTATACTAGTAGCTTCAAAGACCTATACTAGTATAGCTTCTTGTGGACGGGTGTTTTTGGATGACCGTGTTGCTGAAACAATGGACCCCTCGTGGAGGGGCCCCAGGATCTGTGAGGAGCGGAGCATGGCTGCGGTTTGATGAAGCGAACACGGGGGGTCGTTTCACCCGCGTGACTCGGGCCTTTTTGTGTGTGTTGGTTAAAGCATGTTCTCACCCCTTCCTGGATCGACCTTTCTCACCAGAACGGATTCACAGTGCTGACCTGACCTCCTCGTGAGGCTTCGGCCGTGCTTTGCTTGCAGGCGCGTCCACCGGACTGTCCAACACCGTCCAAACGGCCCGGACGGACGGACGCGCTGCTTCGAAGCGTGCGGTTCCGGTGCAGCGAGACGTGTCGCTCGTGGGGGGCGGTGGACTTGTCAGGCTGCGTGGCGGGCACATCGTCCTTGGACTCAGAAAGAGAACGAATGGGGTGAGGAGAAGTCATCGTTAACTCCATCGAGCAATGACCCTGCAGACGAAGTGACTAAGTGGATCTAAGTGGAATAGTTACAGTACATGGGTCATGAAATCATGGGGTACACGTATGTATTCCAGTCCCACGGAATGTCTGGGAAAAGGATTGCGCAGGAAGCGCAAGGAACGCGCGATCGAAGCGAGGCAGCTTTTTGGAGTGACTGATGACTTGATAAGTGTATCATGAGTATCATGTATGAGAGTTGAACCAACAAACCAACAATATGATGGCCAAGGTGAGCGTTGTTCCTTGAGCTGCAACTTGAAGACCGCGGCGACGATCAGACGTTGTGCGTTTGAAGCTCAGGCAACACTTAAGGCACTTAGGTTAGGTTGCATGTCCCGTATTTCGCAAGACGGACAAACACCAGCCCCTTAGACAGAGGTTAAGGGGTGTCCATTCACCACCGGTCCTGGTTCCAATAATTAGGCTTAACACATGGAGGATGGTTTCAAGAAAACGGTATTGCCAAGTTCGCTGGCAAGTTAGAACATGTTGGAACTTGAATGAACTTGAATGAAAAAATGGCTCAACTATGTGGCCAATGGTTTTGGTCCAAACATGCATGTCCCCCGACCGACAGCCCAGAGCTCGACATGTCGCTCCGACCGGTGTTCGGCAGACTCCGCCTTGGTCACTCGAGTAGCTCGGGCACTGCCGATGCACCTCCGGGCGCCTTCAACGGCACGCGCGCGCGAACGGCAGCGGGACAGCGCACGGGGCGAACAGAGGCTGTGCATCCAACGCTGCTGGCGCTGGAGCTTGCTGAAGCGACGTTTGGAGCTGCTTCAGGGAGCCAAGCGCGCCGCGCAGCGCGTGCGAGGCGGGCGAACCGAGTGGATGGGCGGGATTTGGGGATGACGGAGAATTGGTGTGGTGCGGAGTCTCTGGAGGGTTGGAGAGAGACCCAGGAGATGGAATCCAGGCTGCAATTCCTGGCGAGTATATGTTAGAGTCTGTTAGAGAATCAGAAGTGTTTGTCCAAGCCAGCCACTGGAATCAACTCCCCATGTGGGTCGGACGGTGTGCCCTAGCCTGAGGCACGAGCCTCTTCATTGAGGAGCGAAGGGAGTTGGTTGAACGACAGGGGAAGCTGGCAGCGGCATGTCGTCAGCGGCGCGCCTGTTTTTCAGCGTGCAATCTATATCCACTCTGGAGATATATATATAATTATATAAGTGAAAGGTTGTCCTTGGGTGACGGCTTTGGAAGCAGCTGGTGGACACTTCTTTTGCAATTTTTCAGAGAGAGAGAGAGAGCGCGCGCGCTTCCCTTTCTCTGTGGGCTCCAGTGCTAGGAGCGGCTCCTCATCGCCTTGAACCTCATTAACAGTGCCTCATTGGCAAATATCTGGAGGAGGAAGCCTGTGCAGCCTCTGCTCCAGGGGGAAATACATTTGATTGATGATTGAGGTCACTGTTGCAGGTTAACGAAGTGGCAGCTTCGTGTCCAGCAGCAAAAAACGGTGCAGAAACATGTTGCTCAACGTCATGGCTTAGCAATCAGGTTTCTATCTTCCTTGCATTGCTTTCACCGATCGTTTTTCTTCCCGTCCCCACGGTCGGTCGCACGACGACGTACGTGACGAGGTTGGATGTGTCGCCGGTCGGCCTCGCTCCACGGGCCCAGGTGTGAATCGATATCCGCCCTTGCTCTTTGAGAGCGCCCACGGTGTGGACCCCCATATGGGCGTCCACTCCTGGTCGCTACCGACTCTGAGAGGGATGAGGGGGAACCGAGCCAGACCGAGCCGGAGCGAGGCTTCGCGGCGACGGCGGAGGATGAGCTGGTGCTGGTGGTGAATCCCTTAAAGTGTCTTGGCCGCAAGGAGGGACGGTCTCCTCCGAATCCGATGCGCGAGGGACCGTGAGGTGAGGAGCGCTCGCTCGCTCGCACGAAGCCCGAAAGGCAGACCTTCGTCCGAACGCGGCGTTGGAGGAAGAGGGGGGTCAAAGGGTGTCGAAGCAGTGTCGAACTTGGCGTTCCGGATGTCCGTTGCAGGCAGAGTGCCTGGAAGCGGGTGAAGGAGCCGCGCGGGGTGGCTGGGCGGCTGGGGTGGGCTCCGTGAAGCCTTTTGGTGGTAGTACGGGGACGAAAATTACAGGGCGCCGGCCTGCTGCGCCCGTGTCCTAGCCGGAGGCCTTCGGCTGGTAACCGAAGGTTACAGGGGCTACGCCGCCGACCGATTCCGGTCGACCTCCCCCCAGTCACCCTAGCAACATGAGCCAACATGTGGCAACATGGATATGGTGATGGATGTGAGGTCGTTTTCGAAGGCCCGTGGTGCGAGATATGCTGCCTGAGTGGCCTTGCATTATTAGCAACTTGTGCATTTTGTTTTTTTGGTTGCTCTCTGGCTCTTTTTTTCTACCGGAGGAGAAAGAGCACGGACTGGATAGAAGTGTCTACAGAGTTTTCAGGGCACGTGCGCCGCGAGTCCACTCTCACTCACTCTCCCACACTCACTCGCACTCGCGCTCACTCACTCTCACTCTCACTCTCACTCTCTCTCTCTCTCTCACTCACTCACCCACTCACTCACCCAGACTCACTCGCGCCCACCTTCGCTCTCACTCACACTCACTCTCATTCACTCACTGTCACTGTCACTGTCACTGTCACTGTCACTCTCACTCTCACTCTCACTCTCTCTGTCGCTCTCTCACTCTGAGAGTGAGAGTGAGAGTGAGTGTGAGTGTGAGAAGCGTCTGGACTGACAGTGTCTGCGGGGTTGCGAAGAGACGCGTCTGGATTGAACGTGTGCAAAAGCCATATGTTTTATGGTGTTTTCGGGGCTGCGGAGAGGAGCGTCTGGGCTGGACATGTCGGTGAGTCAATCTCTACAGGACAGTCCGCCTCTTCCTTCACGCGTTTCCTCCCTCTCCCTTCCCTCTCTCTCCGCTCTGCCCCGGCCAGCGCCCGGCTGTCAGGCGTAAGCCTTTAAGTCAGAGAGTGGCGAGTGGAAAGAGCTCAAAGAAATGCAAAGAGAGACCATAGGTTGGATACCAGATTCTAGATCCGGCCACATGTGCGGTCCCAGTGCTCCGTTGGTGGGGGGAAAAGGGTCCAGACCCTTCCAGTTGGGGGATCCAGTCTTAGTGCTGTAGCCCATGAAGTGATTCAGCATACATGAAGTGCCAGACATCCCAGTGCTCCAGGAGGGCCATGTTGGGCTTGTATGAGGAACATTTTTCCCTTGGTGGTCGACGTTTGGTTTGGTCGGACCTTCTCCTGCCCTAACCCCTAAATCCACGTGAACTCCCACCACATAGGGAGTGTCCTCTTCAGTTCGCTCGCAGTCCCTGAGCAGATGGCATCATGCACCCCATGTGGGGTGCCCTTTTCAGTCCAGCAACTAGACCTTGCTACGGATTAAAAAGGGCACCCCTCAGCTATTCAGAACCTTCTGTCTCCAACGCTTGCCCGCTGCAATCGCTTCTCTCTCCTGCCCCCAACCCCACCACATAGGGAGTGCCCTCTTCAGTCCGGTTCTCTCGCAGGCTTTCAACAGATGGCATCATATCTTTTCAGTCCAGCAACTAGACCTTGCTACGGATAAAAAAGGGTTGAGCTACACAGAACTGGGATCTCACCCGTCGTTCTTCTCGTTTGGCCGTGCAGGATGATCCCAAGGAGATGAAGGCTTTGCGCCGCGCCAGTCAGGGCCTCCCCAAGTGGCTTGGCCAGGCCAGGTTCGACGCGACCGACGGATCTGTCCTCCGCGGCCGGAGGCTGTGGCGGAGGCGAGGACAGTGGGAGGAGTTAGGAACAGGGAAAAGCAAAAGCCCAAACATTTGTTGGTGGGAAGTGGGAGGTCGGGGCCTCCCTCACTGGTTCAAAGCGACTGATGGTACGTCTGAACATCGCTTGTGGTGTTCGTTCTTGCGTTACGGGTCGCGTGCGGAGGGGCGTGCAGCACGTCTTCCGGCGCGGACTCATGCGGACGCGGAACGCGCGCGCGAGGGGCCGGAACGCAGAGGCCATCGGAAGCTTACGCACCGTGGCGGGGGATCAATTTCAAGTGCAGAGCCACGGCCTCAGCAGGAGCTGACTGGATGCAGAGGTGCAACCTCATGGCTTCCCATCCTAGGGTCCGGAGCCGTCTGGAGTCTGGGTGATTGCATGGCATGGTGTGGAAGGATTCGCGACATTTGCTGCAGCTCATCAGTAACAAGGAAGGAACAGCATGAGACCGGAAGGAGAAGGGCAGTCAATCCCCAGACATTGTCGAATCAGCTGCATTTGGGGTGTCCGGCAGGTGAATCAATCCGTTCCACATGAAGTGAACACAGTTAAAAACAGTTGCAACATGTTGCAAATAGTTAGTATATACACGGATTTATGTAGAGAAAGCGGAAGCGAGAGGGACAAAAAGACTTGGATAGACTTGGGCTATTGGACTGAATGAATCAGCAACCCCAGCAGACGTAGGGCTGGCTCGAAAGAGGTTAGAACTCGCGATGACCTAAACCATCTAATTCATGGGGGCCAAGCCCCATCCCATTCTTGACAACAACTTAGATCACCTTCGCTTGCCAGAGTGCATGTCGCACACTGGGGTGCATGTCGAGCGCCAACTGTGTGTTCGGTGCTTTACAACTTCGGCAGAGAGCAGATGCTTCCAACTTCTGCTGCCTGTGGGAGCAGCGGTGGATGACATCACGTGCTGCTTGCGAGACAGGTGAGGAAACGATGGGCCAAACTGGCAACTGCCTGCAGGAAGACGAAGATGGAGAACATGATGAAGCATGGGACCGGGAGATTTTCTCGAGGTCCCCTTAGCTAAGGCATTCCTTTCACCAAGCCAATGCTCATGTGCTGGCAGGGGAATTATCCGGTAGAGTAGACGACCAGGGTGAGGTTTGTCAGACTCGCAAGATGCACAGCCAGGCTGGGTTTGCCACCGCAGTTTCCTCTGGAACTTCCTGAGGAGCGATTTGGTCACTGTATGTCACTGCGAAATGAGGTCGTTTAGGGATCCATCTCAAGGGCGTTACAGTTCTGCCTCGTTTGGACAATTTGTGTTGATCTATATTGGGAGAGTTTCCAAAGATCCTTTGGCAGAAGGAGAATAGACCAAACCTTCGTGGATTCGGGACCTCCACTTCAAAATGATATACCTGTCGTGAGCCGATCTTTGCATGATCACCCCATCTCTTCTATCCCACCCTCCAAGAGAGGTCAAGTGACATAGGACCCTACAGGGGGACCCATCGCCTATAGGGTTTAACCTCTGTTGGCTCTCCGCCCCCCGTCCTTTCCTTCGCCGCCGCCTCGGGCGGTCGACCGCAGGACCTCTCGCAGCAAGGCGCTTCACCACCGGGTGGCGCGGCAGCGGTTCGGCGGTCTGACTTCTACTAGAGATCCACAAAGGAGTCTGAGAAGGTTAGGGATGTCTAGCACAGCATATCATAGCATATCTATGTTTCTCCGCCTTGGAAGTACTAGAGAGTCTAGGCGACCAGGCGGGAACCAGAAACATCGCCAGACGCGAACCCCCCAAGACCATCCAGGAACAGAGGCACCATGAAGCACCCCACAAAACCAGAAACCATCCTTCGAGCCGGAATCCCGGGTCGCCCCATGGGGTTGTGGCGAAGCTGTGTGTGTGTCGAGTCTCGTCGATTGCAGCTTCGCTCCGCCAGGGGAGCTCGAGCTGCAAGTGCCCACCGCCGCCTTGCTAAGACTTGTCCCTCCGTCGCAGGCGGAGGCCGGCGGGGGGTGGGACAGTTTCATGGACGCAGAGTCGAAATGAAGCATCCTCTCAATGGCGACATGCATACAGAGGCACCCCAAAACCCCACATTCCAAAGCCAAGAGTCACGTCGAAACCACCATCAGAGTCACTCCGACTCCTGTTTTTTGCTGCATCACCCTGAGAGTCCAAGAGCATTTACTGTACAAAAGGTTGTCTTTCGCTGATCTGAAAAGGCATTTCCTTTACTGGTGCCCCAGAATCGTCGGACTGGACGACTGGGTCACCTCGCCAGCGCTTGGAAAGACACCCAGCCGTCCTCGCTCCGTTCACTCGTCAGACCGAGCTACGCCCGGCGGACGCCGCGCCTCTGCGCCCAGCGGCCCTCGACGTGCCTGCCAGTACAGTGTTGTCGACGGAGCTGGCGCACGAGCGAGCTCTGATGGCTTGGACCGGCGGTTTTTGTTCGGCACGGGGGGAGATGGGAGATGCGGGGAAGTGTCACTGTGAGTGCAAAAGGTCCGCGGTCCGCAGTCCGTGTTTTTTTTCCCTTGGCGTGGGTTTTGGTTCAGATTCCGGAGTTGTTGGTTGTAGCGTGAGGAGTCCAGATTGAACACTCGGTAATGTGATATAATGTGATGTAATGTGCTTAGATTTGGTGAGGACTTTGGGGAAGTGAGGACACAGATTGATTCTGAGAATGTGTCAATGTCTCGGAATGATAACGAGACCCTCACATAGACTCTGTCTCATGTACGGGTGAAACCTTTTTGTGGAGACTGAATTCAGGCGAGGAACTTCAAGGTCAGCTCTCGGGGTGTAGTTCAATGTGTTGCAAAGGACATGGCTTCCAGGTTTCGTTCAGGGTGCATTTTCGGGTCGATTTCACATCCTTTTGTCAGTGGTTCAAGGACGCCTCCTACTCACCCACCTGAACCATCCCAAACGGGCCAAAACACCTATAGGCACCCCTTGTAAAACGAACGGGCCCGGTGTTGTGCATGCACCCGGTGTTGTGCGTGCAGCCTCGTTCGTTCGGTCACCGAGCAGCCTCGTAATCGCTCGGCTCGTCAGGACGCGAACGAGCTTCGCCACGTCCAAGATGCTGTTGCTGGGAATATTCAGATCTGCTGGAGGCCTTTTCGTTTGGAGTGGGTGACCGGAGCCTTTAAACATCTTTCAGTAGGAAGTGGTATAATTTTTTTTGAGTTTTTTGGATTTGAAAGTAACTGCATGTACTATCATGTACTGCATTGCACTGCTGTAAAATCATTTGGAAGTGAAGCCAGTGACATGTTTGGTTTCCTTTTGGACATTGTGACCGCACATCCGCTCGGGGTAGAACTCTGGTCAGTTTTCAAGTCATGAACATTATAGACCAGGACGAGTTTTGTTGAGCCAGGACAATTATACTATATATAATACAAGTGATGTGTTTCTTTTCAGCCAATCTGAGGTTTTGCTTTGGCTTCTTGCCCATCGCGCTGGATAAGCATCTGGGCCGCAGGTTCTCAGATCCTTGGGCCTTGGGAGGCAATGAACGTATGTGGCCCTGACAGCTCTCCTTTGCAAACGAATCTTCCCTTCCTATCCCTTACTTCATTGACTGAATGCTTTGACAGAGCCACACCGGCTCCTTTCAACGAGCCATTTTTGGAGCCGGCGCAGGGCGCTGTGTCACGCTGTGTCCAAAAAAGGAACCAACCGGACCCGTGTTCACCGAACCCGCCACACCGCCGCCGGTTGAGGCGGCTGAAAGTCTCAGCGTCGGCGATCATGAGCATCGCGCTGGTCTTGGCCGCCGTGGTGGCCTTGCTGGCTCCTCGGCGTGGCGGACCTCCGTCCACCGTGTCGTAGCTTTCTTTTCTTTTTTCCGGTGAAAAAGGGCCGGAGCTCGCGGGGAGAACCAGAAGGACAATAGAACACCAGAATTTGGGAGAAAGATGAAGAAAGCTGGTTTAGACGAAAACCACAATGGGTGAACTTCATAGGGAGATGAAAGGGTATGTTCTTGCTATGTTTTGGTCTAGTTCCCTTCTTGTCATCCTTCTTCCCTTCACCCCACACGCGGGCTTCCCTTCACGCCTCTGCCTTCCCGGCCGCCACGAAGCGGGAGTTCCCTGGGTCCGGCAAGCTCCCGGGGGTCCCTGTTTCTCCAGGTGGGATGGCAACGCTACCTTCAGGTGAAGCGCCAGGGGGTGCTCCAAGCTCGTCGCGCCTGGGTGGACGTTTCTGGACTACTTGGACTACTTGGACGGGATGAATCCCGAAGGGTCAGGAGTTCGGACAGGGATGCGACGGAGGAGGTCTTTGGGATGGTTCATTTATGTTCATTTATTAGGTTAGATGATTCAATGATTGCAGGATATTGCAGGCGAGGTGTGCTATATGGGACACTAGCAACTGTTGTTCTGGTCTTGTCTGACTTAAAGAGGCCGTCCCGGTCGATGAAGACCTCTCCTCGTGGGCACATCCTGTGGCTCGGGTGAGTCCTGTTGGCAAGGGATACACCCTGACAACGGCCCTCTGGAAGATGGTTTTCCTCTACCAACCAGTGGTTTTTTTGGTCCATGTTAGTCTTGCAGGGTCTGAGGGTCTGGAATGGAGCGCAGGGTCCCCCCTACAACTACTGACAGGGGTCCCCCTACAGTAGGGGGACCGGTATGTATGGCAAGGGGGATATGATGGCGGCTGGACGGCCGATCCTTAGTCTTCACCGTCCGTGAAGTCCTCCGAAGGTAAGGAGAGGTGCTGTAAGGAGCGAACATCGAGGAGTGAGAGCTGTGGACATTGGATGCTTAGCTGTGCTTGTTTCGTGACAGCATGCCAAGATGATATCCGAAGTGAAGCTTGATTTTCATGCGCGAAACACAGAGGTATTGATATCCGCCCAGCCCTGCAGTGCTTATTGCTCTATGTGGTGCTTAGCTGTGGTTGCTGGACCCTCAGTATCAACAGACTCACAAGATGCAGGGCAAATGCAGCAGGGTGATACTGAAGGAAGACGAAGCTGCACAGATGTGACATACACTCCCAAAAGTACCCTTGCAGTATCTTGGGGTATTCTTTTGTTCTATCCCAGAGTGTTGGATGACCTTCATTCCAACTTTCAAGCCTTGCCTGAAAAACAGACCCATCACTTTCAATATTTTTTGCCGAGGTGTGCTTCTCAAGTTCTGAGCATCGCCAAAAAAAAACAACGCAAAAACACGGCGGACACAGGATGGCGCATGGCTGCGCGCGCGCCACGCGCGTGTGCGGTTGGGGGATGGGATGCTTCACTTTTGTTCGGATGGGCGACGCTTCAGTTTTCAGCAATGATGCTGTCTGTGTGTCTGTGTCTGTGTGTGCGTTTTTGGTTGTTTTCGTGTTTTTTCTGAGGGTTCTCTCGTTCTACTTGGACCATTGAACAGGTCATCTGACTTTAAACTCCTTTTGGACACATTTTGAAACGTTGTATACCAGCACCACCCAAAGGGTGGTTAATAGATAGAACATAGATGTCAGGGGCCCGGGGGTCTAATTACAAATCACCCTTGGGTGGTGTTGGTTCTGTCTTTTAGTAAAGCACCGCTGGTGCTTTCTTTCGACCCATGCATCCATGGCCAGAACACTCGAACACGGACACGGACAGGGCCCCGTTGGCCTCCGCTGAAAATGCGCCGGGTGGCGCGCCGCGGGCTCCAGGTTCCAGCTCCGGAATCCCTGGACTCCATGGCTTGCTCCTGCAGGCCAAGCAGTTGGAGAGGTTGGTTTGGGGAGGTTTTTGGAGAGGCAGTCGATCTTTTTTTTTTTCAGCAGAGAGCGAGAGCTATTTGGGGTCCTTACTATGTGTGCCATGTGTGCGCTCTGGAGCCTTGGTGCTGGTGTCGCTGCGGGGTGTCGCTGCAGGGTGCAAGATGTCGATGGCCGTGTATGGCCACCTGCGCTTTTGGAGCCTGAATGCCAGTGCCAATTGAAGGGTGCTGCTGCCAGAGGTTTATGGCAGTCTGCGCTTTGGAGCCTGCATGTTGGTGCCGCTGCAGGGTGCCGCTGCAGGGTGCCGCTGCCGCTGCTCCTGCTGGTGCTGCCAGATGTTAATAATGGCGGTGTTCGCTTTGGGGGCCGGGTACGTCTAAGCGCTTGTGTACCAGGGATGCTTGGCAAACAAGCTGGATTGGGTGTTGGCGAAGACTGTGCTGGATGGCACTGTCTGGCTCGAGGAGTTGTCTTGTTTTGAGTGACCCTTGGGGAGGGGAGACGGGTTTTGTTTGGAGTGGCTCAAAGACCGCACTGTTTTCAATAGCTCAAGATGGAAGTGGAAGAGGAGTTGGCTGCTAGTGCTTTGGCCAGCCGCATTCTCTTGCCAAGGGGAGGTGGCTTGCGCTTTTGCAACCTTTTCTGTCTTTGTGACTGGCTTGTTGCTTCCCGGAACTGCCTCCTATTTGGATCACCTTGTTTCATGCCTTTGTCAAGTTGTCAGCCCAGCCTGCAACACCTTCTACCGCTGCAAACGTTTGTGATGCTGGTGAATTGGTGCGCCCTATTTTATCCTATTTTGCATGTAGACACGCTGGATTTCTTCAGGAAGGTATGTTTCCTTTGACCTGGTGGCTGGTCGTATTTCGTATTATAGAATATATTCCTTCAAGTATATGTAATCAGGAGAGGCGCCTGTGTGCGCTTTGGAGCCTGGGTGCTGGTGCCGCCGCCAGATCCCGTGCGCACATGTGGTGAGATGTGTATGGCCGTGTGCACTTTGGAACCTTCATGCTGGTGCCGCTGCAAAGAGCCGCTGCCAGATGCGTAATTATGATGCATGGACCATGGATGCTAGTGCCGCCGCCGGGTGCCGCTGCCAGACGTGGGCCAGGTGTGCCGCTGCTCTGGCGCTGCCCGCCCAATACCTTTTGCTATTTGGGGTCTATGCCGGGGTAATTTTTATTGGCTTCTTGAGTGGCTTGAAGCATTCATATTTGGGAGCCCTCCCTTTTTGCCGGGTATGTTGCTTGGTCAATTTCGTTGGGTCACACATCACTCCAGGTAAAAAACCCGCCCGACGTCCGATGTTCCACCGCCAACTTGGCCTTGTCTTCGTCGTCCGTCGCTTGAGCCGCACGGTGGTGGGACTCCTCCCGAAAAGCTCACGAGGGCATGGTGGAGCCCCGCGAGAGCGACTTCATCACGGTGCCAATGCCGTCGCTGGAGCATCAGGCCCAGCTGGAAGAGCCCGAGAGCTCGGCTTTTGGACGGGTGTTGGAGATCGGTCGATGGCTGGCTTGCCTGTGTACAGCTGTTGTCCTGGCTTTAGATTTTTTGAGCAAATTTACCGATGCTATTTTGTAATCTGGAAACACCAATTGCACGATGTTATTTTTTGAAACAGACCAAGTAACCTGAGAATGTTTACTTACCCCTAGTGCTGACACCCGAGCGTCTGCGGATGGTTTTTAGAAATTGATTAAATAATTTGACGACGTTTACTGTTGCCCCAGTGCTGACACGAGAGCGTCTGGGCTGAGCAGCCAGTTTTACACAAATAGTCTGGTTGTGGGTGAATACACCAAATCCAGAAACTGCCCAGACATAATCATTGACCCTTGAAGAAAGCAAAAATATAAACAGAGTCTCGAGTCTGTGCAACTCATGGTGTTTGACAGACTCCTGGAAGAAACTGTAAGTGTCATGACGGAACTCGGCCTCTAGTTTCGCAGGGGCAATGAGATAATCTGGCGCCCGGGCCCTGCCAGCGTGACATACTGCATTGCAAGAGTAATGGCGCGAGAGTTGAAGCCATTCCTTAGCTAGCAGCACCCCCATGATGTCCATCATGATTCCCAGGAAGTAAAAACACATCGAAAAACCATGTGAGAACCCAGGAAGTAAAAACATGTGGAACAAACGTGTGAGAAACCTGTTGCCATTAGGGGCCACCGGCTGTTGCCAGCTTGATTCTTGTCTCAAGAGTCTCACGCAGGCGAAGCCACCGACGGGATGGCAATCTTGTATACATCTAGCCTAGCCTAACTATACAGCCAGCCCATGCAGCGGCCGGTCAACTGAGCCTGAAGCACCGGAAAGAACATGTGATGGTCCATATTGTCCAGTTTGCTCCGGTCGTTCTTTCCTGGATTGTTTGCCCGAGGCGTGATCATTCCAATCCAAAATGTTCCTTGTGTCCTGAATGCCTGAGCCCTGCCCCAACGCTAAAGCTCCTCATCACATGAGATGTCCCCAGTAAGTTTGCAACTGTTCAGGTCACCGTTGGCATTAGCAGATGACCCCATAGAAACCGTCTCTGATCAACCATTCAGGTCACCATTGGCATTGGCAGATGACCCCATAGAAGGCTTCTCTGAAGCAGGTAGCGGGAAGGTTCGGATGAAGAAGATGAAGGTACCACGAGTGTTCTTTCACCACACCCGGTACCCGATGTGGATTTTGCCACTGATGGCTGCGCTTGCGTCGGCTAGTATGGAGTTTGCCTTTGGATTTCTTGACTGTGCTTTGCGAAACTCTATGACGATTGGCGCAAGCTTTCGCAATCATCTGGCCAGAAGCGCCACTGCGTCCATCGACTTGGATTCAGACAGGTGTGACTCTCCTGTATTCCCAAAGTTAAACTTGTATCGCCACAAGTTTCTGTTCCGGTCAAGGTTCAACACCAATAAAAACAACTTATAACAAATTATTATAGGCTTCCGGACGGTTTGGTTTGAGGAGTACATGGGAATTTAGAGCTTGGGATTTGCAGGACTGCTTATGGAGACAAAGGAATGCAAAGATATGCAAGGCAGTGCACGGGAAGACAGCTTCACAAGAATGCAAAAAAAACACAGAGAAAGTCACGATACAAGGGCGCTCAGGGGAAAACTTTGAGTGAAACACAGGGGGTTCAAAGGATGCAAGTCAGAAAACCTATGCGGGATGCCACAGGCTTCCAATGATTTTTTTGAATACATAAGCCTCCATGGCCATGCGCGGCATGTACCGGAATACGCGCGGACCATCTAGATCCGGTTGGAGTGCGTAACCATGTATAAGAATTCAAACGCAAATATAGGGGTGCGTAGTGCTGCAAAGGAATACACAAGAAACATATGGGGGCGCAAGCGTGGTCACGGGAATGCAACGACATGCGTGGGAAAAAAGTACAGGCGACCACAAGATTCTTACGTATTCCTGTCCACCCTTCAGGCAAAACAGCAAATTCTAATGCGTCTGCGTTTTGGTTTTTGTTGCTGCAAATTCAAGTCTTCCACCGCAAATTAGAATATTGTTTGTCATGTACTGTTTGCTTCTTTGTGTCAACCAAACTATGAAGGTACCTTTCAAGACATTAGTCACACGCGTAATGCAAGGACAAGGATTGGTAAGGTCATGCGCCGTTGGATTGCCTCATGTCTCGTCGATTTCTTTGTTCACACCCAAACCATGTACCTACACATAAAAATGAAAGATTGCGTCAGTTTACTGTAACCTTCCTTGGTGTTGCGCACCCTGGCCTGGCAAAGCTGTGCTGTGGTGAGTGCTGTGGAGCCCTCGGTGAAAAAATGGTTGGCGTTGGAGTGGGTTGAAATCACAGATGTGATACAGCCGTAGACTTCATAGCTATTTCGGCAAAGGTGTGTTTTGAACCGCAACGTATCAAGGCTTGACATGGAGATTGGAGAATGATTTTCAAAGTTTTTCAGCAGTTTGGCGCAGGTTAGTTTTTTGAGTGAGGCAGAAGTGAGTTGCGAGTTGGACAGTCATGTGATGTCTCTCAGAGAAGCCTTCAGCCTCGGAGACAAGCTTGAAGAGGTCAGGTGGTGATCCCGAGAAAAGCGCCGCCCAGTTCGGAGCCTGGCCGTTGTGTGTTTTCGCCAAGTGGAGTTATCAATCATCAGAGTTTGTCGCGATCGTGTAGAGATACTAGCCGAATTTTGGCACTGCTCAACCCAAGCGCGCTCTGGTGTCAGCAATGGGGTAAGTATCAGGGTTTATCTGCAAGTTATTTATTGGTCAGTTTCTAAAAAGCTAACGTCGTACAATTTTGCTTTCCAGAGTAAGAGCTGGCCAACACGGTGCAATTTTTTGGCTTTCCAGATTTAAAGCATGGCATCGGCAAGTTACGCTGAAAAAGCCTAAAAATTATTATTTAAGGACAACCAGGACAGCAGCTATACACCAACAAGCTGGGTTGGGGTCTTTAAGTCGGGTGTAACCATGATGTAACATGCTGTAACTATTCTGTGGAGAGTCTGGGAAAGCATGAGCAAAGTGGTTTTGGGATCAGTTTGGGCCAGGAATTCTTCTGCTGTACAGTGCCCTTTTCGGAGATTTCCGGAAGGTCTTGAGTCAAAGAAAGAAATTGCTGATATTGCTACCTGCGTGGTTCCAGGGCTTCGACACCGCACATGGATGGCTAATGTTAATGATTGGATCTGTGGGAATGTGCAACGACACTCAGTGCGGGACCGGGTGCTACAATGAAGCCGTTTGCGTTCATCAGATGACGCAAGAAACGACTCACGTGCCACCACATCGCCTTTCGATCTTGCCCAATCGGAAATCAGGGACTTGCCAAAACCATCCAAAACCTCATGACACTCCATGCTGTAACGGCGTATTAAGATACATTGCGGTGGTTTCAGGTGTCTGGGAAATCGGAGTTCCGTGCAGCATCACATCCTCGGTCGGTCACATCTCGTGAGCCCCACGCGGACGTGAACCCCACGCGGTCCCCGCCGGAAACCATCGCCACGCACGCGCGCTCCACCACACGGGCCGGGGCGTTTTGCCGTCTTCTTCGCCGGTCTAAACTTTGGGTGAAATCGCCACCGAGGCAGGGTGAAGTGAAAGATCCGGCGCTCTTGGCGAGTCTCGGGCAGAAGCGGTCCGAACCAAAACCATGCAAAAACGATGGGCGCCCAACCGGTGACCGCGGTGTCCTGTGTTTGTAGAAGCGGTGTCGGAAACGAAGCGAGTGATGTTTGTGGAAGCGAGTGTGATCTTGGAGCCTCTGCATGGATTCCCAATGGATGATTGGTGAGCAGGAAAAACCGATTTTTCAGGCAGTTTTTCGAAAAGGGCTGCATGAAAGCTCATGAAAGCTCATGAGTTCGAGTTCGGTGCTGTGGACACCGCCCCTGACTTGGACCATCCTGGACCTTCGGTCCGGGGTGTTGGGAGGTCCCGGATGCCAGTGGTGTAAGGGCTGGAAGAGCCAGGTGACGACATGAAGGTGCATACCTATGATATTCGATGTATCCTTTTCCCCCTCCAATCACCACCCGAAAGCCCCACGTGGCGCTGCAGTGGCGTGGACGACGAATGCCTGGTCTGTGGTCTCGTTTCATGGTGCGACCATGATTCGAGCAATCCAAGGAGCCGTGGAACACTTCGCTGGGCAGAGATCCGCTTCAAGAGTGTTGAGCAGGTGCAGGGGGGCAAAGGTTGGCTTTGAGAACCATTGTAGGGGCTTGGAGACACCTATTGAGCCTTCTTCATCGGTTTGGAACATCCAATCTGGCTGTGTTCTGCCCGCGGGTGCGGATCGCAACCACTCTCTGGTTGAAGCATGCTGAAACGTTCAGCTCATCCTCCCCCAAAAAGCCATCAAACACCCACAGTCCATTGGTTTAAGCACCTCTCTAGGCGCCGCAGGAAAAGAGCCCAACGGGCTTCATTTCGACGATCTCCGATCCTTTGGCCCGCCGGTTCGGGGCCTGGCTCACCACGGGCTCGCAGGCCCGGCGGCGAGCTGCCATCCTCTTCTTGTGTAGCTGGAGCGCGCTACACCGAGAGGCAGGCAGAGCAGTGGAGCAGGAGAGATGGGGTTCGAGGGATGGGTCCCCTACCAGCCGAACAGGGGGGGGGCTGGAGCATGAGATCATTCGAGGCTGCAGGGAATTCATGCTTGGGATGTTTGAAGTGGCTTCAACGATCTATGTACAAACATACTTACCCTTGGTATGAGCAATGAGACTGGCGGGCGTTCCTTGGCTGAGCCGAGAAACACGGCCGGCGCGGACCATTCGCAGGCCGTTCCTTTCGTGCCCAAGTCCATGATTCAGAACGTGGAGGCTTTCCACCACCGGAGCGGTGGGACCGCGGACCCGCGGACCGCGGGCCACGACGACCGCTGGCTGCTGAAGTCTCGATCCTGACCCGGGAGGAAGAGGATCGAAGTCCGAGGTCGGGGTGCTTTCGAGGCACTTGATTTACATCTATTGACCGGAATGGTTGACTATGTTGAAAAGCGGGGTCAATGTAGGCCTATCTTCCATTCCCGTGGATGGTTCCATCATGCCAGAACTATCCAGAACTTATACCTTGAACTTCCAAAAGAAACCATGAAAAGACTCACAGGCCAGGCATCTCATGGCGCACATCCCTCCAGCTGGCGCGCTCGCAGGTCGGCGCTGCGGTGCTCCGCTTTTGGAAGGCGGGGGGGTGAGTCACGAACACGGCGGCGACTGCAGGGCCACCCGGTGGGGTGGGGTGGGTTTTGGCCTTCTTTTTTTGGGTGGACACCGTGGAATCACCTAAGTCCATATGACACTAAGTGAACCTGGGGTGGTCCTTCTTTTTTCCGAGGTCATGATTCTTTGTTGCGCAAGGTCTTCTGTGCTTGGTCTTCCACGCGTTCACGATCTGCGATCTGCCGCCCAGACGGTCGGACGAAGCCATCCCGGGACAGGGAGGGAGCCCTTTTTGGCATAGGTATCAAAAAAAAATAAAAAGAGCATCAAAAAAAATAAAAACAGGATCAAAAAAAAAATAAAAACAGGATCAAAAAATAAATATTCCTTAATAGGCCTCTTCTGCTGCTCTCCTGGCCTTGTGGTCTGCGGGTCCTCTGGTAATGTGGTCCCTTGGTCCTTTGGTCCTCTGGTCCACTGGTCCTTTGGTCCCCTGGTCCCTTGGTCCTTCAGTCCACTGGTCCCCTAGTCCTCCGGTCTCCTGGTCCTCTGGTCCTGTGCTGCTGCTGCTACTGCTACTGCTACGCTGGTGCTGCTGCTGCTGCTACTGCTGCTGCTGCTCCTGCTACTGCTACTGCTACTGCTACTGCTACTGCTACTGCTACTACTACTACTAACTACTACTACTACTACTACTACTACTACTACTACTACTACTACTACTACTACTACCCCAACCATCCTCAGTGGGCTAGAATATTTTTTTTTGATTCCCTTTTTACTTTTTTTTTATTGATCCCCGTTGAATATTTTTTTTGATTCTTTTTTAATTTTTTTGATCCCTTACCCGCCCTTTTTGGTCACGTTTGGGTGGAAGATGTCGCAGACACTTCACCAGCACCCCCTCCGATGTTATTTTTTGTGTCTCTCATAGGTATACCACGTCCACGGTCTGTGGAATTTTGCATGTTCACCCTGAAGCTGACGGTCCGGGCGAATGATGGTTGGTTTGACCTGTATGGACCAGGTCAGGACTCAGATGGATAGGCCGACGGAGTGCCCTCACTGAAGCACCAGAAAGGTGTCGAACTGGAGATCTGAAGCACAAGGAAAACATGCATTGGAGACAGGTCTATGGGCTGACTTGGGGCATTGGAGAGAAGACCTCCTCACATAAACTGAGGACCTGCGGGGAACTGGGGCTGAACCTGCAGGGAAACAGGGTCCATGCATGTCCATGCTGTGGTTTTCGAGTGGTTTCTTCTTGTTTTCCTGCCCAGACCCACAAGGAGTGGCTAATGGAAACCCCTTAACATCAATAGGCACTGGCAGTCTGAGCTCTTTCTTCAGGTCAAGCTTTGCCCCTCATTGGTCACATTTGGCCGATTTCAAAGTTGCATTGTAGACTCAAACGCATTCTTTCAAGAAAGTCTGTGCTTTGGGCTTCGGAAGTCACGCGCCAGAGCCCCTGCCAGTCACCACTTCGACCTTCTGTCCCTCCGCTCCAACCAAACACAGTAACCCTCTGAAGTCTGGGTGCCCCATGGGCCCCATTGGCCCCCCCCCATGGGCCCCATGTCTCTGTCAGGAGCTTAGCCCTGAAGCACAGCTCACAGATGGTCTGCCTGAACGGCCGTGAGACCTGGTCCTTTGTGATGAGGCCGCGCGCGCTCCGCTCCGCGCTCCGCGGACGTGCTTTCTCGGCGAGTGGAGAAGCCGAGCCTTCCATGGGATGAGGGAGGAACACGGAGAGGTCAGGTCAATAGGAGCGAACCGTGTTCAGTGCAGAACTGGATCATGAGAAAAGATGGACCTTCTCCTCTTCCTCTTTATTCGAATTCAAAGGAACAAAGATTGGAACAACCGACAAATGCAGAATCGTCTCGTGTGATCTGATCTTGTGTGCTTTCTCATGAGAGATCCGTCAGGAAGATCTTCTAAGCCTAAGCACTTACCTTTCAAAGGACAAGCTTCTGAACGATTGAACGGAGTTGGTCGCAAGATTGACCTTCCAAGTAGCATGGGTTTGAGTACAAAACTCCAGGTTTGCTCCAGGAGTCAGGATTCCATCGTTCCAATGGTCCAAGATGCTCCGAGATGCTTCTTAGCCGTGCTTGTTTCAATCTTTGGAGAAGGGACATGAGCTGCGCCCGGTCGGAAAATTCACCGTCCCCACCGTGTGACCATGGATGCGATGGCCACACTTCTCTCTCCATGGAGGCAAGAATGGCTTGGCATGGATCGTACCGCTGGGGGACCCAGTGGAAGTCCCACGGAGCGCGGACCGGTCGTCCGCTCGTCCACACCATGGAGTCTCTGGCTTAGACCTTTGTCCGAAGAAGAGTGATGAAGCATTATCAATCAAGTGATGTGATTCAACCATTCAACCATTGCAGCAAAGGAGCACAAACAGGATTTGACAACTGCACAAGATGACATTGTTTGGAAGAATTTTGGAATGGGACGAAGCACTTGTTTGCATTTCTCCCACTCCAGGACTCTTTTCAAAGCTATCCTTCGTTGCTATGCTCACAAAAAAAAATGCATGTCACCTCCCCGAAAGTACAACTTGTCACCCTCGCAGCCATCCACAAGTATATAAGATGTGGGCGTCTGGCGCAACCACACTTTGTCAGTACTACAAAAATGCGAACTGCGTGAGATGTGCGATCAACTTTCTTTGTCCCAGACACTCCATGAATTTGGAGTCGTTCAGCATTGGGGTGGTTGCGGGTATCTATGGAGGTATATTCTCTAAACATGGAGTCCTTCGGTATAATTATATATAACTCTTGCACTCTTGATTTCGTTTGTTCCTGCTTCTGTGCTCAGGGCCCGTCGCTTTCGGAGAAGCCTCGCACAGTGAAGGAGGCAGGGCCGCGAAGCCCGAAGCCAGACATGCTGGACTCTATGTTGATGCAGTTACTGGTGCAGTTGTTGGCAGCAAGGTTCCAGCATGCCAGTGTCAATACCACGTATACCAGCATTTTCCTTACCGGGGCCTCGAATAGACTTTATATGACTATACACGACTTGTCCATTGTCCATTGAGCGCCTCCAACCTAGTAGCGATGGCGTCCAACCTAGTAGCGATGGCGTCCAACCTAGTAGCGATGGCCTCCAACCTAGTAGCGATGGCCTCCGACCTAATAGCGATGGCCTCCAGCCTAGTAGCGATGGCCTCCGACCTAATAGCGATGGCCTCCAGCCTAAGAGCGATGGCCTCCAGCCTAAGAGCGATGGCCTCCAGCCTAGTAGCGATGGCCTCCGACCTAATAGCGATGGCCTCCAGCCTAAGAGCGATGGCCTCCAGCCTAAGAGCGATGGCCTCCAAAAGGAACATCCAGGTACTCGGATAAAGTCGAGTTCCGCAACTGCGCAGGATTCCGCAACTAGGATTCCGCAACTGTTTGGTCGGATTCCGCAACTGGGATTCCGCAACTAGGATTCCGAAACTAGGATTCCGCAACTAGGATTCCGCAACTAGGATTTCGCAACTAGGATTCCGAAACTAGGATTCCGCAACTGTCAAGATTCCGCAACTAGGATTCCGCAACTAGGATTCTGCAACTGGGATTCCGCAACTGGCGTTCCGCAACTAGGATTCCGCAACATTGTGGACTCCCTCACTAGGATTCCGCAACTTTGTGAATGATGAGGGGGTTGGTGTGATGTCGAGATCACACGATGGGGACAAGGGGGGGTTGGGGGGTGGGGGGTTGGGCGGGGGGCTAATGACGTTGGTTTGGATGTGCTTCGAAGGTGATGTCACAGGCACACACGCTGTCGCATGATGTGGAGATCACCAGTTGCAAGTTTCAGAAGGCAAGTTGCAGAATCTGACTTTCCAGTTTCAGAATACAAGTTTCAGAATCCCAGTTTCAGAATCCTAGTTTCAGAACCCCAGTTTCAGAATCCTAGTTTCAGAACCCCAGTTTCAGAATACCAGTTTCAGAATCCAAGTTTCAGAACCCTAGTTTCAGAACCCCAGTTTCAGAACCCTAGTTTCAGAATCCGACCGATTAGTTTCCGAATCCGGCTCTAACCCTCCTCGATCTCATGGACGACAGTGAGCTGAACCAGCCTGGATTGTGCGTCGCTCTTGCGTCAGGTCTTCGCTGGAAACAAATGGGGAGTCAGCTCGAGTGGCCTGACGGGAGCAGGCGCGAGCGTTCTTTTTTCAAGGGCAATGGGCATGAGTACTCTCCCTGGAACTAACATGGAAGTGGAAAACCACCTGTTTGTAGTGGATTTCATGGTCTTCCTTACGGGGCTATTCTCCACTCCATGTTAGTTTTCGGGAGTGTATTTTTGTGAAGTGGAAGTTCAAAGAAAGACATGGAATGGAACCGACCGGGGGGTGGCGAATGGACATCGCCCGAAAAAACCTTGAATTCAGGAGCTATTCATCATTCTTAGTCCCATTTTGGGAGGGGGTATAGATTATATAGATATGATATCATTTCATGAAAATATGATCTGAATCTCCGTTATGTTGTGGATCGCAGTCATTCTAGTCATAGTCAATCCCATCAACTTTCGCACCTCCAATTCATCGATGGAATCCACCAGCCGTTATCGTTCCGAGGAAGCCCGATCACCCTGCGGGGGGCGCGGGGCAGCTATCGAGGGGCGCGGAGGCCCGAGCAAAACACCTGGATGATGGCACCTGGAGCTCGACTTGGACTGGAAGAGTGACATACTTTGGGGGTCATGAAGTACATGATAAGTCATGGTGTAATAACTGAAAGAATGTAATCTACAAGACTTCCATAGATGGAGTGGATGAAATCGACTCTTATCATCTCTGCCTCTTCCTCTGCCGCTGCCTCTCTTTCCGTCGGATGACGAAGATCGATGTTCGTCTGCAGAGACGTCGACGTCCCGGGAGAGAGCTCTTCCCACCGAAAGAAGACGAGAAGGATACCAGCTGAAAGAGCTCCATGGGGCTCAAAAATACCAGAAACCCTTCCATGTATGGGTTGTTCCAATGTGGCTGAAAGAGCTCCTAGACGCTCCTCATGGTCTTGGGACACATTGGGACTGCAGAGTTCCATACCCAGGCATCGCGTGTTCAATAACCTGGACATAGAAAAACATCCGGTTCAAACTGGTAGCCTGCCGCCCGAATCTCCTATCCAACAGCTCGAGGCATTGCCTGGGTGGAGAAAGGCTGTGCTGTGTTCCACAGCACTCACAGGGACAAAAGGTTGGGACATTTACTGCAATTCGCAGCCCTAAGTCCTGGCACGCATCGAACGACTGAAGACCCACGTGCACAGTCAGAGAAAGCGGTGAAGGAGAAGACGCCGCGAAGACCCAGCGCCTCTCAGGCCGCTGGCACAGTCCTGCCGCCCCTGCCGCCAACAAGGCCCAACTCGGCCAGGACAGACGCCGTGCGCGGCGGGACGCAACAGCTTTGCCGGCCCTTCCCAAGTCCACACTGAGAGGTTTGTTTCCCCTCCAAAAAAGGGACTTTGGAATGTACCCTGCAGCATGGTTTTCTTCCTGTCAATCGTCCCAACATCTTCTCAACAGTTCTCAACATGCGGATGTCTTTGGGCCCCCAAAAGAAGTGCTTCTTTCCTGGATGCCACCCCCTGGTGGGAGGACTCCGACGAGCTACACCGGTTCCCCAGGCGCGGCGGGGGCCAGGTCGAAGCAAAGACGCTTCGGGTGGTAGGAAACTGGTGCGAACCGTGAGGAATAAGGTTGAATAGGGGGAATGCATCGGAATTGATTCGTGAACTGGGCCTCTCTTGTGGGGGTTCACTCCCTCATTCCCTACTAAGGTCTACTATATAAGCACAAGTCAGGGAAGTTATTCTGAAAGACTCATGGAAGGTGGATGATGGTGGATGGCAAGATGTATATGGATTGAAGTTGAAGGACCATTCTTCTGTCGACATCTTCTAATTGCCAAACAGGTTGGCGCCATAAGCAACAGTTCCATGTCGGGGTTCGGGGTGCCTTCTGGTCGCAGTCACCGCACCGTGCCCTCGAGCCTTCGGAGGCTCCAGCTATTGCTCTTCCCCGCGCGGCCACGCGCAGCTCAGGGCCTACGAGGCGCGGAGCACGCAGCGCGGAAGGCGCGACGCAGAGCACGCGCGACGCTGCGACGCGCGAGGCTAGAGAGAGAGAGAGAGAGAATGTTGTTGTTTTAAGGTGTCCATCTATTTGGACACAGGTCCTGTTGATTGTTTGCCTCAGATTCTGTCTTTTTGTGTCTCGTCGAGGAGCAGAAGCGCTGGGGCGACGCGGTCCAAGACGCCATCGCGAGGAGAAGAGCGGATGTGGCCGAAGCCTCTTGCGGAGCCTCTTCAATGTGAGTCGATGCTGTAGAAATAGGGAGGACCATGGAGACTCAAAAAAAAAGATGGGTGCTAGAATGAACTGGGAGTTCGTTTGTTTCATCTTCCAGGAGGTCAGTGGAGGTTGATGGCAGCACATTCGATGGGGAGTCCCTAGGGCCTCCTGGCCGACATCCCCAGAAGGCCAGGGGTGGGTGGTTGAGTGGAGTCTTCATGTTCCACCGGCCACCAAAACCTCCCAGTTTCCGTGCCGTTTTTGACACATGCATCTCATGTTCTGGCCCTTGGGCCTGTATGGAGGAGCCCCCTCACTATCTGTGTTCCAGAAAAGAACTCACAAATTGTGTTCAATTCAATTTATTTTTGATGTCTTTTTTTTTGTATCTCTTGTCTTTTGTTTTGACTTTTCTTTCCAAACAAACCACTGGTTTTGACATGGCTTTTCTGGGGCGAAATCCGTCGCCTTCGTCGCGGAAGGAGCCCGGTGGCGTCAGGATCCCACGGGCCTGGTGGGCTGCGGGTTGGGGTGGTACCGGAGACCAGTTGTTTCCAAAGTTCAGAGAAACCTAGAGGCCTTAAGTTATAGATAGTTATAGCATGTTATAGCATATGTTACTAGCATATCAAACGATCCAATAATTAGGCCTCAATCGTGAATGAGAACAGGTGTCCATTTGCAATGGAAGAGCGGCATTTCGTGAGCATTTCCGCAGCTCTTAGCGCTCGAGTGCTCGAGCGCTGGCCACGAGTGTTTGGCCCTTCCATATAAACCATCTCGGCATCGGGTAAAGCCCTCCGGTGCCCGAGAAGATCTCCAAAACCGAACTGAGTGAAAGATGCTGCGGCTCTTGGGTTTGATTATCCTTGCTGCTGCTTGTGATGACTGCGGCGAAGAAGACTTGCTGCGGGTGACGCTGCTGCAGATGTCGCTCACAATGCCTCGTGCGAGGAGACCCAACGGCACTGATGTGATTCTCGTGAATTTTGCCGTGCCATGAGGATGATGTGAATTGTGCTTGATGTGAGATTGGAGTCTCTCTTTGGGGGATCTTGGTCCTAGCCTGTTTTGAAGTCCATCCATTGTTCGTTCTTTGCCTTGCAGCTCTTTTCGGCCTTTCCCGCGCACCCCATACGACGCGCACGAAACTGCTCCTACGCAGGAATGAGTCCCAGAGCGAGCAAGAGATTCAAGACTTTGCCGCGACATCCATGCTGCAAACCAACCTCGAATTTTCCAATACCGCCGAGGACGGGCAGACGAGGTCTCAGGTCCGGGAAGGCGGTGTCCTCACTGCAGCGCAGCTTGCGAAAGCCAGGCTTAGCAAGAATTGGTGCACACAAACGAAGTGAGGCATAGGGGGTGTGTGGGGGAGGAGACATGGTTCAGCTCCCCGGAAAGCTTTGTGTGACATTTGGTTCCTTTTTGGGTGTAGGGGGGAGTTGAGCAGTGCCGGTAATGCAAGCTAGACATATGATGGCACATGGCATTTCCAGCATCCTTCTATAGATCATCAATGAGAGAAGGCTTTCCGATGTCCATCGTCGCATGGTTTCGTGTCTCCTCAGACGGAAGCCCTTGGGTCGATCAGAGGAGAAAACACCCGTGGAACACGTACGCCCGCTGTCACGTACGCCCAAGACATTCTAGCAGACTGGCATTCCTTCCATTGCATTCGTTGAGGTGGTGGAAAAGGGGCCAATTGATTGGCGTACCAGTCCCAGACAGGTCGTGTCAGGGGTTGGTTGGAGCTCCCCATCCCCCCATCCACTCCGATGCTGCTGGCGCAGGAGCTTTGCTTGGACGAGCGATACAAGCTGCCGATGGGGCTGGAATTCCAAGCGCAGCTCATGGCTTTGCAATCCTTCAAGGCCTTCCCAAATCATTGCAGGCCTGGATTTGAATGGATTTGGAACATTTGGGGACTGTAGAAGTCAGGAATTTCCAAGCTACAAGAAATTATTATCCAGATCTCCACACAGTTCTCCACACAAGCAGAGGATTTCCATTTGGTCATTGACACCATGCGACAGCCTGGTGATGTCAGTCATGTGATTGTTCTTGGTTCGACTTCCTGCTCCCAGGAACACGAGCAGATTGGAACTCTTGCAAGAAGCTCTTCCATTGGATTATAATGCAAATACCAAGAATCGTGGCCACGAAGTCACCATCATTAGTTTCTACATGGCCTTCTACATTGTTTGCATGGCCGTATGCCCAGATTTCTCTGAGCTGGTGTGAAGTTGTGAGCCTGCGACACTGTTGTTGAGGGACACTGTTGTACGTAGTTCGTTCGTGCCGCAACGTGAAAATTGAGGTGTCCATGATCTACTTCATGACGCACCCTCGTTATCACTTGTACAAGGAGCGGTCAGTGAAGCACCGGGGCACTAGGTTTTCCCTTATCACCTGAGAACCTCACAGGGCTGAACCGGTCACACGGAAGAGGAGAACCGCATGAAAACATGAAGAACTACACAGAAACATCCCACCAAAAGGATCCCAACACCGCCAGAACATCCATGTAACACCTCCCCAGACATGGATTGTAACACCGGCTCAGAGGGCAGTCTCCAGAGTCTACGTAGTCTACCAGGCAGGCTAGGTCTGAGTCGACCGTCCAAGTCTGACGGGAACTGGGAACTGGGAATGAACTCACCGCTGTAGCTACGATCCCACACGAAAATTCCCATCTCCAGGTTCCCCCTATCAGGCTGGCACCATTCGATGTCGAAATGGGTCGGAAGGACCCCCCCACTCGGCCCCACTCATCTCGGAATTGGGTGATCTTCTTCCGAACCTCGGACCGGGAGGCCTTCCGAGGCCGGTCGAGGTCGAGGTCCAAAGAAGCGATCCGGTGAGCCGTGCAGCTGGATCCTTCCGGGTCCCGACAGGGGGTTTGGGTCTACCGAAGCGATCCGGTTCGGTACCGCCAACGACTGGACCCGACCAGAGTGGCGCCGGTGACGCCATGCGAGTGTCGAAGACCGAAGACCGGACCTGAGGTTCCGTGAAGTCTTCGATGTGGTTGTTCTTCGGGTTGAGGGAGAGTGGCGGTTCCACAGTGGCGATGTCGAACCGAGTCTGGTACTTCCAGGCCAGAAGGAAAATTTTCTCTGATGAACAATGATGAACAACAACGAGTGACCTTGATGTCTTAAATGAGTCTGGTTCTAAGAGGTGTTAACACTTCGGACACCGGACTAAACAGCATTCTCACATTTCGATGACCGGACCTCTAGAACCTGAGTGACCCGGACCTGGTCTTGGAGATCCAGGTGAAAGGAGTTCCATCGTATTTCAACGTGTTCACCATGCTTCTGCCCTCACTCCCCAAATCCTCCACGTCCTCCCCAGCCTTCACCAGGACGCGGCCGACCCCACGGACCCCGCGGCGTCCACGTCCTCGCCGTCCGTGGACGTGGAGGAAGAGACCTGGAAGGAAAGCTGCCCGGTGCCATCCCCGGGGTCGATCGATGTCGATGGGACCGGCGGTGGGAGCTACGGTGGATCGAAGGACGGACAACCAGGTGACCTGGTCACCCCGAACTGCTAGCTGGTTGCTTGGAAATGCTTGGAGGGTTGGTGATGAAATGCCGTTTCTGTGCGAAGAGTTTTTTTGGAAAGAGCGTGGTTTCAAGGTCGAGGTTTCTGCCATCCAAACCTTGCTGGCGTGCTGGGTTTTGCTGGTTGTCACCATATATGACGAGACGCATGCCAGTGCATGGTCGACCAGTGCTGGTCGACCCGGCTCGGACCGGTGACAGCAGAAGACATGGTGACAGCGGACGTGTGTTGATCACCAAGTGGAGCTCTTCAAGCGGTGGAAGGAAGGGGAATGGTGATGAGTGGATGCGGACGATGAACAGAGATGTGAAGGTCGCATGGTGAAGATACTGATACTGTATATGGTCATGAGCTTCTTGAGTGTAAGTGGAGTGAGTTTTGTGTCTGTGGAGTGAGTGGGTGTGAGTTAGCGGCGGCGGGCACTTCACAGTAAACATAAATAGAATAGATTTAGACACAGATGTGAGAAACACATAACCACTCATACAATTATATATGGCCGGGCCATAGATCCAGGTTCTAACTGACATGTCACTCAAGCAAGCCACCAGGCCATATCAGGCCACATCAGGCCATAAAGACATGGTTTTCTAGCTCTTTTGGTTGAAATGCAGTCACAGCCTAGGCTGGATAGGTTGGCTGGCTGTGAGCTGGGCAAGCCCTTGGGTGGCGCGCTGGGGGCACTCGCAGGCGGCGTCGGACGTGCGCGTGAAACCGCTCGTCCGCCGGCAGAGAGGTGGATTGGTGTGTATGCCCTGGTTCCGAGGTGCACATGGAGCCTGAAAACATAGGGGGTGGCTTAATCGTTTAAGATTATTCCAGGGGTCATGTCAATTACTGTTTTTTCTTTCTTTTCTTTAAATTGATTCCATGGCATTAATATGTAAGCAAGGCAGTGGTTTAATATAAGGTAGTACCCTTAATTTCAGAATCATTTTTGGAATGATTTTGCAAGATGCTCACACATGAGATAGATCAAAATGGAAGCAGTCAAGTTCCGAATCTTTCTGAAACTGATTGGAAAAGCCGCTCGTTTCCATTGGAAAGCCAAAAGGTCTACAAAGAAGAACAGAACGCATACCAGAAATTACCAGAACACATAGATCAGTAATGATCAGCAATGATCATAGTTTAGAGGGTTGGGCAAAGATTTGGCTCAGAGGATTTCAACTAACTACACCACTATCCATGATGAGGGAAACACGTGGATCAACAATGATCCTAGACTACAAATTTTCAACACAGAAGATTTCACCTAACGACAAGTGAAAGAGGTGGAACAAAAAGGTGACCAAAGGCAGACTTCTGAAGTAACCACTGGGTTGTAGAGGAAACGCGTCTCATTTTCCAATGTTCCAGGTGGAGACCCCTGGCCGGGTGAATTTCAACGAACGGGAGACCCCCGAGTCCTCTCGCCCCACCAGTGGGGTAGACTGGTCTAGACTTCCCGGATCTGGTTCGGGACGCCCTCGGGCGGTCTTTTTCATTGAGATTACTCGTAGCTTCTTGGTTACTACTAGTAAGAATGCTCCGTTCGTAGCGATGCCCGGGTTCCTAGTAGCGATGCCCTTGCTCCGTTCGTAGTATGGCCAGGAGCCCCGTTGGTAGCGAACACACACCCATACTTTCAGGGGGCATCCTCTATCCCAATAGCCAGAGGTTGAAACTTTGCTGCTGTTCTCTGTAAAGCAAGATAGCTGTCACCAACGAGTGTAACAACTGAAAGGAGCCGCGGAGAATCCGGACGGGCATTCCTGTCCGGGTGTCCGAGGTTGGCAGATGCAGGTGGACTGAACTGCATGGTGGTTAAAGTTCATCATGGATTCTAAACGTGCAAAACACCTTTGAAACATCCACATCCAGCTTCGCAGAATGCCGCCTACACCAAGATCAAGGCAGGTGACTTGCCTCAAGTGGGTGGCAA